AAATTTTGACTGGTAAATTTTACTGTCAAAGTGGCATGAACTATATTGTTCAATAATTACAGTAATGTCGCACTTTGGCGCGTTCAAAAACCAATAACTCATTTTCAATAGCATTTCGGATACAATAACACATATTTTCGATGTCCTCTTATTACTAAGAGAAAAAAAACAAGAACAACATCTATTATATACCTGAAGATGTCTGTAGGAACAGACGAAAGCTTGTAGTAAAAATAACAACTAATATGGCAGAAATTTATATAAACATGGATCAATTCATTCATAACGGATCTGGAGGTTTTTGTGTACTATTTGAATTGTTTGCGATGATGGATGTCTCGCCATTTAAATCATTAACCTTTGCATTAGTTTTGTGTGAATAATTCATGTATTCATATATATATATATATATATATATATGTATGATTCTGGGTTTCTTTCTGTACAAAGGCCACCTCATTTTTTCTTCAAGGACATCTGCAAAAAGGACATGAGAGTGATGGACATGGGCAGCAAGAGGTGGGAAAACGTCACCAATGATCAGGGGGAATCCAGCTGGAAGGAAAGAAAACAACATGGTAACATAAGTGGAGAGCATCTTCCCCCATGCATTCATTGGAATCAAGACAATCATTTCCATGTGGGCATGTGCATAACAAATGCTGTGCTGCCATTAGCTGCTGAGACATAACTCTTTGGGCACAGATCCATGGTCTCTCAAGACTGACGGATATCACACACACACATCCACAGATATTGGTGAACTAAGTTTATATACAAGGTCTGCCTGAAAAGTAACAGGACTGGGTGTACGGTGTGAGCTATAGGCATTGCTCAGTGAATTCTTACCACAGAGCCAGATAATCAATCAGTAAGTCTACAAAGAGATCCTGTAGTGTTTGCTTCATTCAGTGTGTAGGAAGAGATGAGAGTTGTGGCAGGTCAAATTGTGGATGCTTCACAACAACAATGTACCTACTCACAATGCCCTGAGCATCCGGCAGTTTCTGACTGATAACATCATCACTGTACTGGAACAACTTCTCTATTCTCTAATCTTACTCTGTGTAACTTTTTTCTCTTCTTCATGGGGACCTGTTTTGAAGGTATGGAGGTCCTCAAGAAGGGACCTTACAATGGAGATGAGGGGCATCCAAGAAGAATTCTTCCAGTAGTGCAGAATATGATGGAAAAGTGCATTAGACTCAAGGGGGTTACTTTGAATAGGTAAACCACGTATTTTGTTGTTTGGAATTGAAATAAATTGTTTGTGACACCAGTCCTGCTACTTTTTTTAGACAGATCTTATATAAGAAAATAGGATCTGTAAATAAACTTAGTTCACAAAAAAATCTGCTGAGGATTGGATAAATTTACCATATATACTCGTGATAATCTTGTGACCTTTGAAGACCTAATTTTGAATCTAATTTGACTACAGTAAATGGATATGTAATTTGGTCAACAATGGAGCCAGTGCCAACATTACATACACTAATTTTATATCTTGTGTATGATCTAACCCCCTTAAAATTAGACCTTCAAATGTTGCATAACATGCAAGTATATATGGTATATAAGATAATGACTGAAATATTTTATTTATTTTTAGTAATAACTAGCAGCATGACCCGACATTGCCTGTGCTTGATTCAAAAATCGTATGACTCATACAGCAATCACTATCACTTGACTTAAAATATTTTTGACCTTCCTTGCCTTTAATGGCAACTTTAATGTCTTGGATGGCAACTGGTCTACTGCAAAAACAAATGGCAAACTACTGCGGGAAAAAATCTGCCTCGTCAGTCATGTATCAAGATACATGATCACCTAAGCATGTATCACACATGGCACATAACTGAATGACTGACCCACGAAATATAACATTTATTGAAATAAGAAAGAAAGTTAGATGAGAAAGTCCATCGCTTTAAAATATATGCATAAGTCTGAGTCTGGTCGAGAATTTTTATCATAAACGCCCCTGTACTGATGGCTTAGGGACCACATACCATTGTGCACTCTTACGGGGAACACACCCTTTTGTGTTCATTTTTGTTTTAAAATCAAGGCTGATTTTAATGTCTACTTATGCCTTAAAAAAATGGCTATACCATTTCTTGCCATTGGGTAGAGGAGAATAAGGAGAGAAGAAGACGATCCCTGTGCTCAGAAGCAAGTGGGGGGTACCAACAGTGGCTAAACAATTTTTCTTGCCAAAATCCATCTTGCACATTTATAAATCTACCATCCATCCGTGCATTGAATATTGCTGCCACATCTGGTCTGGTATTCCAGCTATATATTTCAAGATTCTTGAGAAAATCCAAAGGGTCTGTAATGTTATCGGTCGTGACCTGGCATCTCGACTTCAGTCAATTTCACGTTGTTGTGATATGGCTTCACTCTATCTTTTCTACAAATATTTTCATGGCAATTTTTCTAATTAGCTTTCCTCCTTGGTGCTTTTTGACATAGTACTTGACTAGCAAATAGGTATCATCGCTTTACTGTTGAAATAGCCAGATGTAAGTATAAGTTATATTCTAGTTCTTTTGCTGCAATTCTCTCATGCGGAAATCTCTCCTGGCTTCTTGCTTTCCTGTCACCTGTGATCTTCTATAGTTTAAATGCAACGTCAGTCAGCATCTTCTGTCTTGGTGAATCCTGTTTTTATGATTTCTCCTTAGTAATGTTTTCTCACCTTCTTGCATCTCAGTGGCCACATCACTTGCTTGGAGGTGACTACCACCCCAAAAAATTACTTTCTAAATGAAAAAATTAAAAAAAAAAAAAAAAAAAAAAAATTTCCTCTTTATATAGTTCTTCAGGTGAGTGGGATTTGCTATCATTCACTGTAATTTGTCTCCGCACATTTGTTAGACGTTCTTTGGGGGGGGCTGTCAAGAGAATTAGAATTTATCATTAACAGCTTTGTTAAGAAGAGAAGAAAGTCTCTTTTTTTCAATTTCATTTGGTGAACACAAGTTGAACAATTCTGGATTTCTATTTTCCTTAACACCTGAGGCTTTTACAGATTGACTTTTCTGCCAATTTGTGAATACAGTGTAACCCGGATATAAGAGAGATTTTCTCTGGTCCCAAATTAGAGCCCATACTTACCTAAACAAAATAGACCAAACCCGGATATAAGAGACTTCTTCTCCGGTCCCGACAACTCTCTTATATCCGGGTTAAACTGTATAAATGATAGTTTTTATTCAATTTTACATGGAGACTATAAAACATGGGTTTTGTTTTTTTTTTGATTTAGTGTTACCATACCAAGAGGATTTTTTTTTTAAAAAAGATTTTATATTGGAATTGAATAAATTGGCATGTGTCTAAGCTTTAATAAAAAAAAAAAAATAAATAAAAAAATATAAGAACCCACCCCAGTTTATTTTTTTGTTAAGTTTTGCAAATAGTCTTAGATACTCCATTCAAACCTTAATGTACAAGAATTTTATTCTGCTTCTATATGCTGCCTCTGTTCAGAACATGGGTAATCATGGATCTCCACACCTTCCTATCCCTTGTTAGAATTAGCAGTTTTTTTTTCTCCTTTGATAAAGCTCCTGTATCAGATTCTCCTATCCATTCACATAAGCTTGTCAGTTAAGTGGCTGGTTGCCAGCTTCTATCTCTCTCAAAGTGTATCATTTTGTTGTTAGTTTAAAGTTAATCTGCCTGTATTTTTCAGTGTATTAATCCCCTTGTGAAAGGGTAAAAGCCTCCACAACTTCCAATCCCTTGTGGCCTTTAGCAGTTTATCTCCCTTTGCTAAGATTCCTACCCCACCATGTTCCACCATACATTCACACAAGCTTGGGCACCCTAAGGCGGTGTAATGGTTAGCAAGCTTACCTCACTAGAACAATTATGAATGAACAGTGAGTTCAATCCTCACTGAGTGCCCTATACTTTCGGCCTTGTGCCACATCTATGCTATGCTTGGAAAATCGCTACATTCACACAAGCTCACCAGATAAGTGTCTTGCTGCCTTTCCCTCTCTCTCTTGCCCTTGTGAGGGTCAAATTTTCCAAGCCTTCCTTCCTTCGTTATGTATCCAAGGAATTTCAGATGTCTCTTCCTGATTTCAAAAATAAGTGTTCTTTTTGTTGCCATTTTCTTTAAGACTTCTTTGTTGCTTACTTGTTCCGTCCATGGCATTTTCAGTATCTTTTGTAGAAACACATTCCTGCTGCCTCCAGTTTTCTCTTCATCTGTGGGGAGATTGTTCAAAATTCACCGCCTTTTAAGAGGATGGATATCACATAGCAATCCAGCACTTTTTTTCTTTGTTTCTAATGCAATCTTTCCGTTTCTCAGTACCTTCCTTAGCTGTTGCAATTCTTCTTTTGCTAGTCTAATGCATGTTTGCCTCTCACCATCACGTTTTCCATTCTCTGCGATAAAACACTTTCCAGATATTTAACTTTCTGTACTTGATGTTGACATCTCCAATTTGAAGTTTGCATCTTGGGCCTTTTCTCTTGCTGATGACAATACTTTCTGCCTTCTTGCAGCTGACAGTCCTTTTTTCACACTTTCTTCTAATGCCCTGTCCTGTAGTATTTTTGCAAGTCAGTCATCAGCATAGTGTCATCTGCACGTCTCATATTGTTAAGATGACACCTGCTGATAATAAATCCTGGTAGGATATCCTTGCTGTAGAGGTTGAATAAATCTGGGGAGTAGATCCATCCTTTTCTCCAGTTCCTTTAGAAAATGAATTGAGTAGCTAAACAAAAATAGAAAGAAGAGAAAAAGGTTTTGGATACAATGGTACATTTTTATTAGCAAAATAATAAAATCCCTGAAAATAATAAGGGATGATTTTAAATTAATCACATGCCAGGATATGAGTCACGTGAGAAGAGTCCCCCCCCCACACATAGAGATGTAATAAGATGACAGTTTAATTCTGAAAATAGTTTCTGCTTGGGTTTTAAGAGATGGGAGTGGTTAACTTGGTAAGGATATAGGTGGGTGGTTATTCAGAGATGTCTAGCATTTTGGTGGGTGGAGGCTGTATGGTGGAGGGTGGAGAAAACGCAATGAACTCATTATTAAAAAGGTGATGAACCAAGTCATGACTCAGGTCTTGCATTTCTTCACTAACTTCCTGTATGCAGTCTTCGAGTATTGAATCAGCCAGTCTAAAAAAAAAAACAAACAAAACAAACAAAACAAAAGGAATTTCAAAAAATCTTTTAACACTAAAAGGTACTGACAGTAGTTACTATCAATAAAAAGTGTACGTAAAATCACACCCCTTTCTCTTTCATTCATAGCACACACCTCATTCCTCATGACTATTTTAACAGTGACCTTCTACCCTGAATGGTTTTTGAGTCTTGAACTGAGTGAAGCTTAGTATAAAAAAGGTTTCGCAAAGAGATATTAATTTTCATTGACAACTAGTTTTAACACAAAGAACTAATACATTATTTCCTTCACATGAAGGTCTACATTCATCATCTCGGCTTCATGAAATGTCATTTTAACATTAACCCTCTACTTCGAGGAGCTCTTGAGCCTTGTAATAGGTGAATTTTACTATAAAAATGGTTTACAATAAAATTGAAAACTATTTTTGACAGTAATTTTCTACCTTGAATGTCTTAAGCCTTGAATGGAGTGAAATTCCTTATAAAAAAAAAAAATGATTTTGCAATAAGATAAGTTTCATTTACAACCACTTTTGACACAATGAACTTACACATTATCTCATTCACATGAATGTTTACATTCATCCAATAAATTTCATGAAACAACATTTTAACAACAAATTTCTACTATGAAGGGCTCTCGGGCCTTAAAATAACATAGCACGTTTCATTTACAACTACTTTTGACATTGTTACATTCATATTAATGTCCACATCCATTCTCTCAGTTTCTTGAAACAGCATCAAGAGAAATATCCTTTCATTGCCAAATCCATTACTCAGCTGTAATGTGTAAAGATACATTTTGTCAACTCTTATGTCACAGGATAAATATTTTTAAAATCTTTCTGACTGCGAGCACTTTTGAACAGATTGCTGGCCATTTTCACAAGCAGTAGACAAACATCTACAGATGTTAGTGATTTTCTTTATTTTTAGTCAAGTAAATTTCAATACGAGAATCATTTGTTGAAGTCAGTTTTAAAATTATATTAATTTCCTTTTTTAAATGCCATGTTCCTTCAGAGCATAGGTGATTATGACTCATCTCCCCAGAGTTGTGTTTGAATATTACATTAAACACTCCAATCTTGACCTCTTCAAGTTAAGAGCCAATCATTATGTATCCTACTTATCCTCATAATCTTTACTTCTTTTGTTCATATCACACACCATTCATCATTACCATTTTAATAGTAATCCTATAGCTTGAGTGGCTCTCAAGCCTTGGGTTAGGTGAAATTTAGTGTATAATAAAAAAGAAAAAAAATGAAAAACTTATAAAAAATTAGATCATATTAACAATGAAGCATGGAGAAAAGCTTTTCCTTTTTAAATTTTTAATTGGTTTCACCCTGTGTAAGGCAGTAAAGCCATAAAAACACAAGGGGTTTTATTGCCTGTGCAAGAATTAGGAACAAAAATATTAATAACAAGCAGGAATGGAAAAAGAGTAATCAGGAGGATACTAGATAGCGATTGATATTGCATTTAGATTTTTGCAGATTAAAATTGGAAGAGAGTTCCACAAGCGAGAAAAGAATCTGTTAGCATAGAAGTTATGGCTACATCTAGTCATCTCAACTATAAATTGATGAGATCTTGACATCAGTCTAGTACTGCACTTAAATTAAAAAAGTCTAGATACCATAGCAAAGAGCTCATCTGAACAAATACCATAAAAGTATTTATAAAAAGGGGAAAGTGACTGAAGCTGAGTCGCCAGATCTGGATCAATAATATTGCTGCTGATTTTTATTCTTTGGATCTTATCAAGGAGCTCAAGGTAAATAGAAGATGCACCAGACCATATGTGGCAGCAATTTTCTAAGAATGCACTGGATGCATTGGTAGATTTGGAGACACCTTTGACCTTTAGTTAAATACATGCTGCTAAAGTTTAACTGTTTTATCATTAGAAAGAATATGGTGTATTTGTTGTTACCTTGCATATGCAACATGTTGCATCAATTTGAGGATATTATGGAGTAGGGGGGTGGATAAATGGAAGCACCAAACATGGTTAGTGTCACTATCAATATTACAAGAGAGCAAAATTTACTTACTCCTCTGTCAGATGCCAAGGATCAAAACTTTCCACTTGATGGTATGCAGAATTGAGTAGATAATTTGAGAACCTCTGACGATTCTCAGTAACGTTTTTCAAGATTTTATTGGATAGGAAAAGACGCTTAGGTTTTCTACCCTGATAATCTAGGTTGGTGATCTTTTGTTTTTGCTGATGGCCCAACTGGATTCTTTGGTTTCCCCTGTCATCGTCTGCTTTCTGTTCGTCATCTTCAATTTGCATTTCTTGAAAGGTACTTTTGACAGCCTTTTTGGTGAACCGGATGGCACCTGGGAATTCACCAGATGAGTGTCTCCTGATGTGGCAGTTGAGAGTGAGGGGGAAAAAAAAAAAAAAAAAATAGAGAGAGAACCGTAAGAGTTGAGCAATTTTAAAAGCATAATAAATGAAACTAACTCTATAAAAAAAAATAAAAAAATAATACAAAAAAGGACTTTGGGAAATAATTGATCTTTGATTGGAAGCTGGTAAAAATTTTCATGTTTGAAAACAATTTAACCCCTCCCCCACCAATTATTTTGGGAAGAATGTTTCATTTTCAGACAAATTCTGTTATTTGTTTTTAATATAGTGTTGCGGGTAGTATGTATGTTGTGCATTTCTGTTGGGAAATAAATGTGTCTCCTGAAATTACCCACAACAAAAATGGCAGACTCAATATGCGAGTCCACATGTATAAAACCAAAGAAATAACAAGGACCCCATAGATGGAAAAACAAATCATAAAAATGTATTAACAAGAAAATGTATACTAGTGAAAAAGACAGTGATGTGTGTAACAAAAAAAAATGTATAAACCTTTTTGGTTCAAAGTGTCAAGTGAGTAAATGTGCGTACGTATGCGTGTTGTGTGGTTTGTTCATGCGTTTCCCAGTAGGAAATGTATTTGCCCGCAAGAGTTTTACATGTTGACGTGTAAGCAGAAAAAGTAAGATGTTACAAAAAATTATCGCAGAATATTTATAGCGCCAGAGAGTTGTCCCCTAGTTGTGGTTTCAAGAAAGTAGGTGGAGTGAACCCCACAATAGTGAACTAAGAAAACTGAGGCATCTTCAAGTACCCGAGAAGTGGCTAACACCTCTACCAGGCGTATATCACATTTCTTTGGATATTTTTAGTTTTAATGATTTGAAGTGTTAATGACATACATAAAAATCCTAGATTACTTGTGCCAAAAATAGAAACAATGCAGCTGCAAAATTACTGCGATATTGCTGCCATTTTTGGATAGTGTGAGTCATTATACAGGGTTATTCAAAAAGAATGAACTGATTTCATTACACAATATTTTAATAAGGAAAAGCAATAGAAAGCTCCGGTCAAGTCACAAGTATTCTACTCACAATCAACTTTTATTTCGTGTCTTACAAGTGTTCAATGTGACCAAAATTCTGGCACTGCAGAATCACAAAGAATTGTACCAAATAAGAGAAACCTCATCACTTAAGGGCTTTCAACATTGGCAACAACTAAAATGGATTAGCTTATGTAACTTGAAGAGAAAATACTAAAATAAGATGTTGATATTCCATAATACTTCAAACAAAAGGTTAGGAAGGACCACACCATCAATACTGGAAAGAGCAATAACAACTATGAAACTTTAGAATCTATTTTCCTGAAAAAATTGTTTTAGCACAAGATTTAAAAAAATTCAAAATGAAAACTGTATTAACTGCTCAGTCAATGAATGCCAAATGTTTCCTTATAGGAAAATGGTTAATATTACCATGATCATTTCTTTTAATGCTCTTAGAAGCAGAATACTTTCTTATATGTGAAAATTGAATTAATTCTATAGATAAAAATCTCAGTTTCCTCATACACCAATTACAACCAATATAATCATAAAAATATTTTCTATATCAGCTTTCACTTGATATTTTTACTTTAGAGACTTTCAAAATAGAATTCATTCTCGCATATAAAGACAGAGTTAATTGTAGAGATAAAAAATCTTGATTACACATGCAGAAAATGTAACCAATACATTTGCAAAATTACTTCAATATGGCCGTTATTTTTTAATGGTATGTGTAAACTAGTATTACAATAATAATGAATAGTATTATTGAAAAATAATAGCAAACTAGCATTAAAATAAAACTAGTATAAAACTAAATATCCAGAATAAAAATTTATAGTAACAAATATATTCTTATATTTTTATAGATATAAAAAGATTTACTATTTATCAAACAGAAGCTTGTACAAAATTTTGCAAATAACTGCATTCAAAAAATGACATTTTGAAACATGTAATAAATATTGCAGATTTCCTAAATAGCATCCTGGTTTGAAACCCTCAGCCTTCAGCAAGCATGCCAGTAACTTCTGAGTTTTAAGGAAACCACAAGTTATATTGCTGCTGGGCTGGTAATGTTCATTACAATATTTACAAGAGAAAAAGGGAGAAAGACCAGAATAAATGACAATAATTAAAATTCTGCATTTTGCTGATCTCATAAAATCTGCAATCTGGTAGAAATGCAACACATACACATTTTTTTTTAATTGGTTCTATTCTTCTTCTATGTGCCATGTCCTTTTTTAGGATGTTAGTGATCATGGCTCTCCACAATTTCTTGCCCTTTGCAGCTCTTAATAAATTTTGTCTTTTTCGTTATTTCTCCTAAACCCTGTTTTGCCATCCATTTACTCAAGCTCATTAGGTAAGGTTATACATTGTTTCCTCTATCGTGCTTGTCTTCAATCTGCCTGAGAGTATCAAATTTTCTAACACCCTCTCTACCATTATATACCCTAGAAATTTCAACTTTCTCATTCTGATGTTAAGAATAAGAGTCCTTTTTGTTTCCATTTTCTCTAAAAATTCTTCTATGCTTACATGGTATTCTCAGCATGCTTCTGTAGAACAACATCTGTTGCTTCAAGTAGCTCTTCTTCACCTGAGAAAATTGATTCAGTACTCTCTTCGTTGTTTCTAATGAAATTACTCTGTAGAATCCTGGTAGGAGAATGCACAAAAGAGTGGGAAACACACCCTACTTTTGGAACTGTTCTCCATCCTGAAGAACGCCTCAAGCGAAAATAAATCTCTACTCACTGTGGTTGCTCTTGGAAGATTTCAAAAGTTTGTCTTGTGTCAGTTTTCTTAGAGAAAATTATTGGACTAGGGGAACGTGGCTGGTGGTTGGCTGTGGTAAGAGAACCTGTTTGATAAAAAACAAAAGAGAATGACATTTATTTTTTTTTTCTCAATACGCAGTAGACATGTAACTTAGAAAATAGTTTTTAGAAGAATTGTAAAAGAAAGTTTCACCTCATCAGCTAAAATACCTGGCTCTCTGTAACACCAGATTCTTGAAAAGTAGCTGGTCTGTTTTATAAAGATGCAGATTTTGCTTAAAATCAAAAGAACTTCAGTGGAAGAAAGTTATCAGCTATTTTTTTAGTTTTTAGTTTTTTAAACCCTACAACTTAGAAGCATCTGGTGTCAGTCTAAAAGAAGTTAGAACCTCTAAGCTGTGTCTTCATTGAAAATGAAGTTTGAATGGGCTAAATTTAGAACTAATATTTATAAGAAAATTTATGATGGCATCATGTCTTATTCTATGGGCTGTGTCCCTTCAGGACATGTGTGATCATGGCTCTCCACAATTTCTTGTCCTTTGTAGCCTTTAGAAAATTTTATCTTTTTTGCTATCACTGCTAATCCCTGTTCTGCCAACCATTTACACATGATCATTAGGTTACGCATTTTCCTCTGTCTCTCTTGCCTTCAATATGCCCTGTAATTGCCAAATTTTCTAAGTGCTCCTTCCCCATTAAATGCCCTAGAAATTAAACCCCCTCATTCTGATTAGAAGTGTCCTGTTGATTATTGTAATATTTTGTCTGTGATATCTGAATAATGGACAATTACTTATCTCAGAAATTACATACTAAATTATGAAAAGCAGTTACATGAAGCCACAGCTCAAGTGTAAGAGATCTCAACACCAGTCTAGTACAGTGTTTAAATTCATAAAGTTTAGGTACCATAGTAAAGAGCTCATCCGAACAATTACCATGAAAGTATTTATAGAAAAGGCACAGGGAAACAACCTTACAGTTGTGGGAAAGTGACTGAAACCAAGATGCCAGATCAGGACCAACAATATTGCTGTTTCTTCTTTGGATTTTATCAAAGAGCTCATGGTAAATAGCAGGGCCACTGGACCATGTGTGGCAGCAATATTCTAAACATAGATGAATGGTAGACTTATAGATATGTAAGATAGAAAGAGAAAAAATGTCTCGCATGACACACTGAACCAACTTTCTTAGCAGCTGAACTAGCAATAGTCTTTCCACTTCATATCAACTAAGAATGTTAGACTGAGAAGGTGCAATGAGTTACTTTCCTGGAAGTTAGCATCAACCATGTTGATGAAAGGTAGAGATGGGTCTCTCAGATGAATAGCTTAATATTGGAGGCCTTAAAATTAACAAGCCATCTTTTGCCCCAGTTAATGACGGACTTGAGGTTGTTTTGGACACTGGTTGCCATGTATTGAATTTATTGAATAAATTCAATAAGCATATACTTTTTTTTTTTCACTCAACTTCTAATGAAAAAATGATGACAAGATATTGTCAATTAACTACCACAATCTACAGTACCTCATGTGAGGGTGCTGTGTTTTCAGTGGGCTATTATGGTAGCCTAAATGACTTTTCCCCACTACCATCCACTTATTCCATTATTCTATAATGTGATCTTTAAATGGCTAGTTGAGACACACATCCAGTTGTGTCTTTGTTCAACATCATTGAAAAAAAGGAAGCGAGGCAGAGGTTAGCCTACCGTCAAAAATCTCCCTTGTTAACAACTTAAGATTTAAGGTTCACATTTTATACCAGGAGTATAAGATGGCCCCCTATTTTGGCAGGGATTTTAAGGTGAAAATGTTGCCTTGTACACCGACATATATGATATTGTAAAATTGATATAAACTGAAATGATATATCTACTCTCGTTGTGACATTGTTTCCTCTGGTCAGCAGTCTCGTCTATCCTTAATTCATTGCAGTTAACATGTCTCACAGTGTCTGATTCTATTTTTAAGTGTTTTATCCCAAAAGTTAAGTTGTTGTCAGGCTGACCTTTGGCTTTGAAACATTCCTCAGTTGCTGCTTCCATGTCATAATATCTGCTAGAAGCCCAACGAGAGCGAATCTGAATTTCTTCTTTCTGGCAAAAGAAAAATAAAAAAATTATCAGTTTGTTATTCAGACAAACTAGCTAAGTAAATAGTCATTATTATTATTATGTCTTTAATAAAGTATTTTTTTTTAATCATATTTCCCCATGCAAGGCGGTAAAACCACTAAGATGAAAGGGGTTACTGAGTGTGAAAGAATAAGAAAAAACAGAAACATTATAAAAGAGTGAGAACAATAGAACTGTGATGAGGAAGACAGTAGATAATGGTTGACATTGCATTTAAATTTTTGAGGATCAAATTGGCTGGAAAGCAGAGAGCCAGAAGAGAGTTCCAGAAGAGAGTTCCACAAGCGAGATGTGCGATAGAAGAAACTGTTAGCATAGAAGTTACAGTTACATCTAACCAATTCAATTGTAAATTGATGAGACCTTGCTGCCAATCTAGTACTGTGCTTAAATTCATAAAGTCTAGGTACCATAGCAAAGAGTTCATCCAAACAAATACCATTAAAGTATTTATAGAAAAGGCACAGGGAAGCTATATTACAGTGGTGTGAAAGGAACTGAAACCAAGATGCCAGGTCAGGACCAATAATAACGCTGATTCTTATATTGCTGGATTTTATCAAGAATCTCTCAATATATACAGCAGGAGCACCAGAACATATGCAGAAGCAATATTCTAAGCATGGACAAATGGCACTCTTATAAATATGTAAGATCAATTTTGGAAAGAAAAATTGTCTAGCACAACACAGTGAACCAAATTTCTTAGCAATTGATTCAATTTTATCACTTCATATCAGCCAAAAAGGCTTAACAGGTCACTCTCATGAAGGTTAGCATCAACCATGATGCTGATAGGAGGCAGGAAGGAGTCTTTCAGATAATATATTCATACTCATGATTACTTACTATAAAAGCAATAATCACATAATGCTTTGTAACACTGGAATTGTCAAAATTTTAAAAAGAGGCATATGGTTGGTCGTTCTGAAGGTAGCAAGAAACATCATTAAATAGCATTAAATTTAAGAATTTCATTTTTGTACAATTCACTATAAAGTCAATAAAATCAGCTACAGTAAGAACTCTACTAAATTGGAAATTAAAAAAAAAAAAAATTTCTTTCTGTCCCAATTTTTGGGATGAGGACTTATTTACATTTGGACTAATATCCTCATTTTTGTTGTTGTTATACCCATTATTTTGGTCATTGAGCTCTCCAGCCATCTTCATGTCTTGTTGAGAAAATAGAATTATTTTTGAAAAAGAACAAATGAAAATTGGCCAATTCAACTGACCTCCATTTCTTGTAATCTGTGAAGCAAAACCTCGAGGGGAGGCAGATTCAAATCAACTGACTTGAACCCTTCATCTGTAAAATGAACATCTGACTTTGATTGTTGACTGTCAACATTCCGTGTGTCATTTATGGTTGTAGATGAACACTTTGCTTCCTGTTTCTCTTGCTGCTTGGATTCAAGTGTCAACAGTTCCTCAATAATGGATTCACCAATATTTTTCATCTTGTTTTTGGAATTGGAAACAAATTGCTGACTACCAAAGCCAGGCTAAATTAGAAAAACATGAAACATTTTATATTTTAAGCTTAATGCAAATACCAGGATAGCCCATAAAAATGATGAAAGAAGAAAGATATTTGGAAAATATTTCTTTAAAAATTATATAAAAACATTTCCTTAAAAATTAAAAACATTTTAAAAAAATTAGAAAAACATTTTTAAAATTATATAAAAAAAATTTTGGAAATGAAATTTAAAAAAATCTTATAAAAAATTAATAACAATTTTTAAAAAATTAGATATTTTAGAAAAGTAAGAATTAAAAAAATAAAGTAGAATGAAACATTTTCTGCAATATTTAACATTTCAATAAATTTTCTAAAATTCCTTACAATGTCCATTGACTTGAAATGCTTTGTTTTATTTTCAATTTCTGTATCAATTCTTTCTACTTCTTTGTTTCAACCACTTCATTTTCTCAGAATTCCCACCCAGATTGAAAAAATACCTATTTCTTTCAAAAATTTCTTTTTCTTCTGCTATATAGAGAATGGCATGTGCTAAAACATTTATGCAAATTTGCTTTGTTATGAACAATATCCATTGGCTAATATCATCTTCATTCCTAGTTAACAGGAGTTGAGAGAAGGAAACATGTTTCTGACTCAATTATCTTTTAATTTGTTTCTCAAGATGAAAAATAACTTTCATTACTAATAAATAAGACTGATTTTATTTTTTGATTAACTTTCAACATAATATAGCTTCTGGTCAACACTGTTTTGTGGTATAATGGTTAAAAAGTTTGCCCTGCAGATCATTAAGCCATTGTAATTGTAGGTTTGTGCCTAAAACAAAACTAAGCTTAATTAAATTGGCTATCAAGTTGGTCTTGCAAGTCATTACAAATTTGTGACATGTAAATCAATGAGAAAATAATGACATATGTGATTTATAAACACTTATAATACAACTGCTTTCTCAGATGAAGGGTAAAAACATTGCTTTGAATGAGTGAAGTGTGTAGGCCTCTGTGACGATCAGCCTTCATCAAAGCTCATTGACTGGCATTACAGAATCATAAACAAAGAAATGTACCATATAGTATAGACCACATTACTTCAGGACTTTCAACAAAAGCAATAACTAAAATGGGTAGCGCATGTAAGAATAATGACATAATGAAGATGCTGATCTCCCACATTACCCCAAACAAAAAGTTAGGAAGGAAACACCAATCTATACTGGAAAGAGTGATAACTGCTACCGGACTTGAGAAACCTATTTTCCTGATAAATTGTTTAAAGAGAAAGATTTTATAAATTTCAACTGATAACAGTACTGGATGCTCGGTCCATGAATGCAAAATGTTTCCTTATGAGGAAACAGCTAATATTACCATTAGTATTATGATACTTATGGCTCTTTGCCAAAATTAAGTTTATGCTTACTAAGTAACTGATCAAAACTGATGCTTTAAAAGATTTAAACTGCGCAGCTTGCATGTGCATTTTAGTGTATTTCTGAAACAACTGGTTATAACTTATAGATAAGCAGATAAAGATGAAGGTAAAATAGAAACAAAAAATTCAATATAAAATAAGACAAACTCACCAATAATACTGATGATGTTGGTGGTGGTGGTGGTTGTTGTTCTCTGTTCTCAGCTATGCTTGTTCGAGGAGACTGTCTGTAACATTAGAACATCAATTATTACAACAAAATAAAATGAATTATGATTATTTATATTGTAACTTTCTTTTGGTGGTCAAGTCAGATTGATCAGAGGCAAAAACATGAAAAATTAATTGGCAGTAGGAAATAAAAGCAGCCGTATTAACTAATTTCTATTAAAAAAAAGAAATAAAATAATTAAATTATTTTTTAAAAGGATGTAACAATTATTATCTAATTGGTTCTCTCTGATCCATATAATGAACATCAGGAAAATGTAGCTGATGTTTTAAATTTATTCAAACTGAATTTTTTTTAAAAATAGTTTTGCTGTTCATTTTTTGAGTTATTAAATTATCTATAAAAAAAATTAGTTATAAATAAAGAGAAATTCATTTTTTTTTTTCAATTATTTATGCATAATCTTAAACTAGAAGGACCTGTGAAAATTTTGCAGTTTTCCTATTTGAATTTTATTAATTTTTCAGTTAATGATTGAATAAGTTCATGGCGAGGTCTACAATAATAAAATATCCATAAAAATTCCTCTATTGTATCATTAAATATTTGAGCTTAACAACTTGAATAAAATATTGCAATAACAATCATAAATATGAATGATGGTCGTTATTTTAAGATGTAAGAAGGTACAAATGAAAAAAAATCTGAAACTGGTGACTTTTTCAGTGAAACGTGTCTATCTTCATTTCTTTCTTTCATTTTGTCACTGAAACCAAGCAATGTTTCTGAGTCCATATATAGTCCATTATTTAGGAGGTATTGGCAGGAGACGTTAAACATTTCTGTTGTCCCTTCTTTCTTTCATTTTCTCACTTGCAGCATCTTCTGATATGTCTTTTTCGTCTTTCCTTGTGCTCAAAACAGAATAATCCATTATTTATGATGTTATGGTCGTGCTAATTAAGGTAGGGAGGACAAACAGAATTATAATAAATAGAAAATCTATGAAAGACACCATAGATATTTTGACAGATTTTTTATTTGAGATCAAGATGAATTGCTTATTGATTCAATAAGCTTTTCTGGATTAATTTTGTTGTTCTTCCATTATTTTTCTTCAAATAATTTCAACTGGTTTATTCTACATCTTTTTCCCCCTTTTTACAAGCTGAAATGTTGAATGAAAAAAAAAATGTCAACGACTGCTGAATAATGAATAAAGAACAAAACAAAACGGCCATGATGGTTCAAGGGGAACAACTACGTAGAGTTCTAGAAAATTAAGCAGCTATCTCAAGCTGGTAAACAAAATCCGAACCCATAGAAGTTCGGTGCAAGAATCCTGGGCCAGATCCTCGCTGCTTAGAAGATTAGCAAAACACAATCATTGATTGTCATTTACGAAAAAAAAAAAAAAAAAAAAAAAAAAAAAATCACGGAAATGTTATAATCACATTGAAGAGCTTTTTTAACAAAGGATAACTCTTTTTCAATGCTATGTCTCTTTAGGAGCTTATTTATTTTAAATTTTAAGCCTTTTTTTTAACCCTGAAAGTGCCTGCAAGTTTCACTTTCTTACAGTCCAGTGTAACATAATACAAAGCTTTAACACCAGTCAAATAATCAGTTAGAGGAGCCAGAAATTTAGAACTTGTCAATATTCTGATATCACCGGGACAAAATATCACTTAAGTTGAAGATTTCTAAAACAATATTTCATAACCAATAATGCTGAAGAGGCTAAATTTAGTATCATTTGAAAGAGAAGTCAATTTACTCTCGTATAAAATCAGTTTGTAATACTTTGTTTTCTCCATGGAGTCGTTTTTGTTTATTATCTATGAAATTCTAAGAATTCTCGGGAAAGATAATGCAGTGATTTTTCAGTGCCTTATCCACAATTTTAATTTGCCTAGACGGGTTGCCAGCTAAAGTTAGAGTTCCCAATCTACTCTGCTATTTGATCATCCTTTATGTGATGAGAGAGAGATGAACAAATAAGGCATTTGGTGAATTATAGTAACGATGTATATGCATAAAGTTTGTATATTACCAAAACCATATCTCATCAGTCATAATACCGAGGAGGCTAAATTTAGTATCATTTGAAAGAGAAATCAATTTACTTTTAGATAAAATCAATTTGTGGTACTTCATTTTGTTTACAGATTCTTTTTCCTTTTAAAATCTATGAAATTCTATAACTTCTTGAGAAAGATAGTGGAGTGGTTTCTCACTGCTTTGAATTCAAAGTTGTTCTTATACGAGACTTATTACCCCTACTGGTTAGAGAACCCAGTCTACTGGGCTATTTAACTCATAACTGGAGATGCAGAGAGAAGAAATGAATTCATGCCTTTCCCAAGAGCATTAATTCAAAGTGAATGCAACAACCTAAGCTGGAACTTGAGCTCTGTTTGTTGATTCCATTTTGAATGCTGTTAACCATTACTCTACCTGCTTGTACATAAGAAAAGATAATTATTTTGCCACCAAGCAGAAATACAATTACAGATTAATATTACAAGGTGCCCAAGAGAAGATGTGCATGCCACCAAGTTGTAGAATTCATTGCTTAAATTAAATCAAGAGGATTAAAAAAAAAAAAAACTTCCAAAGATTCCATGGGAAGAAGCAATTTTTTTTGATGCACAGAAAAGGCATAATGGCCGGTCAGTTTGAGATAGAAATATCAATAAAATTGCTTCTATTTATCAGGTAGAGAAACCTTTTTCTGCGGACAAAATCCAGCTACTTTACAATCACAAATTGTCTTCTATTAATTCTCATATGGGCATGTGGCTGAGTGACTAGAACGCTCACTTTCTGACCAGAAGACCTGGGTTCGAATCTCACAATGGTCAATTTGTCAGGAAGGTGACTACTTGATGGTATCGGCCTGTAGAGGTGATCCCTTTGTAAAGTGCCTGAACACCATGCCACGGGTTGACCAAAGCCTCGTGAGTGAAACTGGGTAGACAAACTATTTTGGGAATCATCAATGCTATCACAAAGTCATAAGTCATTGTAACTGAGGGTTTGAGTGTTCAGGCTGTTAATCAGATGATGTGCTCTCACCAGGAGCATTCAATCACAATAAAGGCCAAAGCCAAATTTTCCACATTTGATAAATGTTATAACTGGCAATGAATAGGCCAGAAGATAAAATAAAGAGATTAAGATGAAGCAAAAGAAAGAAATGACGTTTTGAGAGAAACGGAACAGAAAGGCAAAGTGAAATGTCCCTAGTTAAATTGAGCAACAGGCTTCTCTTTTCTTTCTTTTTATGTGCCATGTCCTTTCAGTATATAGGTGATCATGGCTCTCCACCTCCCTCTATCCCTTGCAGCTCTCAACAAGTTCCTTCCCTCTGCTTCCTCCCCCAAACCATGTTCTGTCATCCACTTGCTTAAGCCTGACAGGTACATCGGGTGTTGTTTTCCTTCATCTCTCTCTCCCTCTATTTGACCTGTGAGAATCAGATTCTCCAAGCCCTCCTTCCTCATTCTGGATCTATTTCTTACCTCCTCCCCTTGCACTTGCCAAGCTTCGCAATACTGCCCTCTTGGTAACTTGGACCACTCCGTGGTAACTATTGGTATCTCCTTCCAAGCATCCATTGAACAGGATACCCAATCCATAAGACGTCTTTCTGGTACCAGCATGCTGATTTGGACTCATTCCGATATTTTCATCATGATGCCCTTCAGACTGACATCGTCAACCTCCCAAATGAAAATTGCGCCACTGAGGTTTCTTCTAGGGTCAAAGCCAGCATGGATGCTTTCATCCCTTCTTGGAAATACCAGGTTTCCATGGTTCACACCAGCATGCTCAGTCACCATAGCACACAGGAACCACTATTTCCAGCTATACCAGCATAACAGCTCTTGTCATAACAGGGGTCTATTTGCTACTGCTTGTAACAAATGTAAGCAAGTCCTCAAAGAAGCTAAGTCCCCGTTTACTGAGAGAAAAGGGAACCGCATAGCTTCTAAAAACTTTGGCTCTCATGATTACTGGAGTCTCTGTAATAGGAGACTAAATAAGTGCAAGGTCTCTATCCACCCCACCATTCTTCAATCAATTTGAGGTGTTATCCTCTGCTGGTAAAGATGAATTCTTTACCCATAAATTCTCCTCAAACTCTACTTTTGACTCATCTGGAGTATCCCTGCCTAACTGATTCTCTGTTGAGTGATATGCATATAATGCCTTCGATGGTCTCTGCTATCATCTCTAACCTTGATCCCCAGAAAGCATGTGAACCTGATAGTATCCTAGTAATAATCATTAAGAAGTGTGCTCCTGAACTGGCTCCTGTTCTCTCTAAACTGTATAATAAATGCCTTTAAGTGCAGTACTAGACTGGCAACACAATTGCATCAATTTACAGTTGAGCTAGCTTGATCTAGCCGTAACTTCTATGCTAATAGTTTTTCTTGCACTCCTCACATGTGGAACTCCTTCCCAGCCCCATGCTTTCTGGCCAACTTTAATCTGCAAAAATTTAAATGCAAGGTCAATTGCTATCTACTATCCTCTTGATTGCTCTTTTCTCTTTCTATTCATTATTAATGAGTCTGTTCCTAATTCCTGCACACCCCTTGCATGTCAGTGGCTGTACTGCCTTACTTGGGGTGACATGGATTAAAAAAACAAAAGTAACAAAACGGCTTAACTTGTTGAATAAAGCCAAAAGCAGGAAGATAAACGGTAAATAAAAGCACAAACTCCCTTAACCGAGAAAAAAAAAACAAAAGCAGCACTTAATATTTCATAGATTTCTTCAGGAAGTGGACGATCAAGGCTCTCCACAACTTCCTATTCTTTGCAGCTCTTAGTAAGGTATGTCTTTTCATTATCTCTTCTAATCCCTGTTCTGCCAACTATTTACACAAGCTTTCCTTTGTCCTCCTTCCCATCAAATTATCCTGTGACTGTCAAGCCATCTTTCCTCATTATGCAATTCCTGCACTGTAACCATCAGAGTTTGTAGTGCTTCCTGCAGTAGAGTCCATAACAATTCCTGCAATTTAACCATTAGCGTCATATTATAACTAATGATAACTTCACATCGCAGAAAATCAGAGATTTTTAAAAATTAATTTTGAAACTAAGTGCAACACCCCGCCCCACACCACCAAGCAAACTTTTAAAAAATTTACATATCTAAGTACTTTCATGGAAAAGTATCCATTAAACATTTCTTACCAACATGTCCTTTAAGATACTCCTTTGAGATAAGGAGTGTCGTCTTTGTGCCATGTTTCTTGGCGATCATCGCTTTCCACAATTTCCTGTCCTTTGTACCTCCTAATAAATGTTGTCGTTATTATTTCTCCTAAACTTTGTTCTGCCATCCATTTACTCAAGCTTGCTAGGTAAGTTATGCATTGTTTTCCTCTATCCCTCTTGCTTTCAAGCTGTCCTGTGAGTAGTAAATTTTCCAAGCCCTCTTTCTTCATTATGTGCCCCAGAAATTTCAACTGACTCTTCCTGATGAATATAAGTGTTCTTTTTGTTTCCACTTTCCCTAAAAGTTCATTTTTACTCACATGTTCAGTCCATGGGCTTCTCAGCATCTTCCTGTAGATCCCCAGTCTCTTCATCAGAAGTGATTGTCTAGCACTCCCTGTCATATAGGAGGACTGATATTAAATAATAGTTCAGCACTATTTTCTTCCTGTTTTTTAATACTTTGTTTAGCATTTGGAAGGCAGCTTTCACTGTCCCAATATGCCTTCAGATTTCAGAGTCGTATTTTCTGTCCTCTATTAAAACATTTCCAAGATGTATAAATTTTTGTATTTCTATGATTTTGATATTTCCAGTTCAGATCTTGGGCTGTCCCCTTTACTAACAACCATACATTCTCTCTTCTTACAATAGTGTCCACATACATGATTTATAAGCACTAACAACCACTTTCTCAGATCAAGGGTCAAAAATAGCCGAGAATGAGTGAAGTGTGTAGGCCTCAGCGGCGATCATTCTTCCTTGACCCTCATGCTCTGGTGTTACAGAATCACAAACACTGTACCAGATAATATAAACCACATCACTTGAGGACATTCAACAGCTGCAACAACTGAAATGGGTAGCACATGTAACTGTAATAGAGAATAATGACATAATCAAGATGTTGATAATCCACACTACCTCAAACAAAAAGTTAGGAAGGAAACTATCATCACTACTGTAAAGAGCTATAAGAGTTAATGGACTTGAAAAACCTATTTCCTTGAAAAGTTGTTTTAAGAGAAAGATTTTATAAATTTCAACCAATGACAAGTCTAAATGCTCATACAATGAATGCCAAATGTTTCCTTATAAAGGTAGTGACTAATATTAACATTAGTATAATGCTCTCAGAAATACATCAAGGGAATGAAAGGCTTACCAAATTTAAAGATATCAAAGCAGATTTACTGTAATTTGGAAAAAATTAATTAAATCTTAAACTAACCGTGGTTCAAGAGGTTCTGATTTCTCTTCTGGTTTCAGGTCAGACAAAGATTTCATACGAGATGACAAAGTTGGTTGGGCATAGGTGTTTTGATTAGAGACTTCAGGAGGTTTACGATGAGCCTGAAAGACGAAAAAAAAAACAAAAAAAAAGTCATGTTATTTTATGTGCAGTAATTGCTTCAATGTTAGTCAGAAAGTTTTTATGAAATTTCCTACTTTTGATTTGCCACTTTATAGTTAACTTGCCCCTATTGGGTACAAAATTTAAAAATAATCAGTCATCAGATCAATATTATTTTGGGGGATTAATTATCCCTTCTTTCATCTCCCTAGTACCATTGGAGTTCCTTTGTAAAGAACGGCACCACAGCTTCACTACATTTTGTGTTGCTGTCATGTTTTCCATAGCAAATGGGTCTTTTACAGGGTGAAGTTGCCAACCCCACACCCAACTTTTCCAAAATTTATAGCTGTTTATTTTAAAATTTTATGTTGCTATGAGGAAGTCTTTAATAAAGGATATCTTTTTTTTCAGGATGTAGCTCTCCACAGATTCCTTTACCTTCAATTATCTGTGAATTGCTATGCTCACTATGGAAAGATAATAGAGTGGTTATTGCGCTGCCTTCTTTATGGTCTTCAGTTGCCCTTCTAGTCTACCCTGCTAGTTAATCCAGAGCTGATGGGAGGAAGGATAAGAGATGGATTCATGTTTTTCTAAGGGTATTTGTATGAAAGTGAATATAAAGAAATTTGGCTTGCCGACTAAATTCGGCATTGATATCTATGTGCACATTGTTAATTATAATATTTAAAAATAATTCTTGCAGGTTTTTTTATTAGAAGATTAAAAAAAATGGTGCAAGAAAGTTACTCCTGATAAATCCGTATTTTGAGCTTCTTCTGGTCAAGTTTTTGTGCATCTGTTTAGATTTTAAAAAAGTCTCCGATACTGGCTATGTTCCGTATCTTATTGTTGCAAATATTTTTTTTTCCTTTTCTACAACTTGACTCTTACCTTGAATTAACTTGGAGATAATCCTTACTGGCATTTAAGTCATTTATACTGACAAATACATAAACGAGAAAATACAAATAGGTGACTGCGACTGGTTTTTATTGCAAACAAGTATGTCCTTTATTAATGAAGAATACATTCACTGTATGGCTTATGGCTACATCACATTGAAACATTAGTTCCCATAAGCTCACCAACATTAAGCAACATTGCATCTGGTCAGTACCTAGATAGTGACTGCTTGGGAATACCAAGTGCTATAAGTGTGGATGTGTGAGTGGTGTAATGGTTAATGGCTCAGAATTGTTAATCAGAGAGTAGAGTTCCAGTTCTGATGGGGTTTGTTATATTCAGTTACACACAAATAGATAGCCTTGGGAAAGGTATGAATCCACCTCTTCTGTTCCCAGATATGGCTTTAATTAAGATTTGTATCACTAAACCATTATCATCTCCAAAATAAAGAAAAAAAATTCTTACAATCTAAAAATAAATTTCCAGCTTTAAGTAACCTGCAAATAGTTGATAAGATGTAGAAAATGAATCAACCAATTGTTGAATAAGAAAATGTGGAAGAGAATATAAAAGTGAAGGAATATAAGAAATACCTGTACTTGAGCAGAAAAAATGACACTTTTGGTATTTTTTTTGGTGGTAGGGAGTTTTTTGGTTATTTTGTGGGCACCTCTACTTAGATTGGATGGTTCTGAAGTGGTCCGGAGAATGGATTTCCTTTCAGGCATAACTAATTGCATAAAAATAAGAAGAGAGAAAAAATTAAAAGCAAAATTCATTTGACCTGACTGTCCTTTATCTAATGGAAACAAAAAAAAAGAAGGTACCTTTGTAATTCCTATTATAAATAAAATTAGATAAAAAATAAAATAATCAGTACATATATAAAGAGAGACTCTAGCTCAACAATTCCCTATTTTCTTGTTGTCGTTGTCAGATAAAACTCTTTCAGGAGTGCAGATGAAAACAAATTATATATATATATATATATATATATATATATATATATACCGAAATTGAACAAGTACAACAATTTAAATATCTAGGAAGCATTCTAACAGAGGATGGAAAGTGCGACAGCAATCTGATGGTGCATTGGGATAGCGAAAGTTGTCTTCTAAAAGCTAAGCAAAGTATTAAGAAACAGAAAAATATCATGAGAAACAAAGAAAAGTGTACTGAACTGTTACTAGTTCTATACAATTCCATGACATCATAGGCATTTTCTTTATTTTCAGACATCAAGTGATCATCTTGCACATTTCAAGATGAAAAAAAAAAAAAAAAAAACACGTCACCAGCTAAATAAATTCTACCCTCCAAATTATAAAGCTGATTTGGTAGTGTTACATTACCTTTGTTCTAAGTAACAGAAATGAATGTTCATTTGGATAAATGCCAAGAGAGTAGTTTGCAAGCTGAGACCAATTTGGCCTTGGGTCTTTTCTCAATATCCCTTCCCAATACAGACACATAAGAATAATCATTTTTTTCCATCATGTCTTTCTTTAAGCAAATGTTACTTCTGATTTAATAAAAGTACTAGACTGGCAGATCATTCCAATAATATGGCCTCCAATTCAATCTTATGTTGATTAAGTTTATCAACCATTAGAAGATTTCATTTGTTAAATCCCTGGAGTCTTGACTAAATTGTTAAAAATCTGAATATGTGATGTTAGTGCAATTAAATTGATATATCTCAAAAGCCATTGACAAGTCGATTTTATATGAAAGTAAATTGATTTGTCTTTGAAATGACAACAAATTTAACCTCCATGGCATTACTGGTTATGAAATATAATTTTGGAAACCTGCAACTTTGTAAAAGACATAGATCTCCAGTCCCTAGTTGATTATGTGACAAGAATTAAAGCCACCAGTCTCAAAGAACTCTGAATTCAGAACCATGAAGAAAGCAGTGAGAAACCACTCCACTATCTTTCCCAAGAAGTCATAGAATTGCATAGATAAAAGGAAAAAGAATTTGTGGAGAGAATGAAGTACTACATATTGATTTTGTACGAAAGTAAACTGATTTCTCTTTTAAATGATACCATATTTAACCTCCATGGAATTACTGGTTAGTTTGTAGATTTTTGCCACCTCTAGTTCATTATGTGACAGGTGTTAAAGCTATGTATTGTAGACTGTAAGGAAGTGATACCTTCAGGTGCATTTGGGCACTTAAAGGGTTAAAAATAAATAAAATAAAAAATTAAAATAAATTTAAAGATTACTTGCCATCTGTTGAAAGCTGTTGTCGAGGGTTCTTCTGGATGGATTTGGTCTTTTTCTTTGATGAGCCAGGAGAAGTTGTTGAACCCTGCACACCACTTGCCATAAATCGTTTCAACTTATACTCCAGTTTTGCTTGCCATTCAGCTTGAAGAGCCTGGAAAGAAACGATATAAGCAATGTAATCAGTTTTAATTTCTTGAATAAAGAATGCCACCATCAAAGACTTATATCTCATATCATAGTCTGCTACATATTAGGTCTCTTTCTAATTCACTCCACATCAAAACCTGTTGGCCAGATGTCAACGCTATGGAAAAAAAAAACTTAAAAATAGAAAAATTGTCCTCTGCATAGGGACTTTGACTATCACATCTAGCTTAGAAAACATATCCCCCAAAATTATAAAATACAATTTAAATGTTGGAGCTAAACATAAATGTTTAAAAACAAAAGAATGACAAACAAACACAGAGTCATGTATCCACTCTGACTGATTAAAGGACTTGCTCATGGCAGAAAGCAGGCAGTCACAGAGTTTTTTTTATTACTGTAAACATTTTAGTGGGGAAATGTGTTTGAGATGCTATCAAAATAAAATGTTGGATAAAAAAAAGCCCTTCAAAAATTACTGTTGTTTATGTTTTGGGTGTGAAACTGATTTAGCAGATATAGATTTGGAGAAGTCTCCAAAAGATTTGTGCTTTCCTTACATAAGTACATAAGTAATAAATATTCAAACTTAGCTGCCAGGCTGGTTCCTGTAGACAAACTGGTGGTAAAAAACCAGTTCCACTTATAGAAAAAGGGATACAGGTTTAATTTCTGTTAAAGGCATAATTTTTCTTTAGTAGAACATCTCAGTCTAGGCCTGTTATTAATTTCCCTGTTTAACACTAGGATGGCCGAGGTGTCGTTTTCGACACCAAATTTTCAACAAATTACTATGGAATAACTAGTTTTGGTTCTATGCTGAGGCTTATGGACAATTATTGAATTTTAGCAAAGATGCTTAACAGACTTAATTCTTTAAAAAATATTCAGTGGAATAGCTGATATTTGAAGTTTTACCTTGAATGTCTGAGGTGTTGTTTTTGACACTCAGGTTATTTATAGGCTAAATGCATTGAAACATTTCTCACAAGCAATAATACTTGTGTTTATGTCCCCTATCTATCTATCTATACACAAGCACACATAATTTACATTTATCTATCTATCTATACACAAGCACACATAATTTACATTTATCTATCTATACACAAGCACACATAATTTACATTTATCTATCTATACACAAGCACACATAATTTACATTTATCTATCTATACACAAGCACACATAATTTACATTTATCTATCTATACACAAGCACACATAATTTACATTTATCTATCTATACACAAGCACATATAATTTATCTATCTATACACAAGCATCTATTTATCTATCTATACACAAGCACACATAATTTACATTTATCTATCTATCTATACACAAGCACACATAATTTACATTTATCTATCTATCATACATTTATTTATCTACACATAATTTATCTTTACATTTATCTATCTATCTATACACAAGCACACATAATTTACATTTATCTATCTATCTATACACAAGCACACATAATTTACATTTATCTATCTATCTATACACAAGCACACATAATTTACATTTATCTATCTATCTATACACAAGCACACATAATTTACATTTATCTATCTATCTATACACAAGCACACATAATTTACATTTATCTATCTATCTATCTATACACAAGCACACATAATTTACATTTATCTATCTATCTATCTATACAAAGCACACATAATTTATCATTTATCTATCTATCTATCTATATTTATCATCTATCTATACACACATAAATTTACATTTATCTATCTATCTATCTATACACAAGCACACATAATTTACATTTATTTATCTATCTATCTATACACAAGCACACATAATTTACATTTATCTATCTATCTATCTATACACAAGCACACATAATTTACATTTATCTATCTATCTATCTATACACAAGCACACATAATTTACATTTATCTATCTATCTATCTATACACAAGCACACATAATTTACATTTATCTATCTATCTATACACAAGCACACATAATTTACATTTATCTATCTATCTATCTATACACAAGCACACATAATTTACATTTATCTATCTATCTATACACAAACACATATAATTTACATTTATCTATCTATCTATCTATACACAAGCATACATAATTTACATTTATCTATCTATACACAAACACACATAATTTACATTTATCTATCTATCTATACATACATATATACATACACACATACGTACACACACATATATACATACATATATACGTACACACACATATATACATATACATACATACATATGTGTAATCACTTTCTTTCAGTATGAGGTATACTAATATTTGTGAATTTCTTTTCAGACTTGTTATTCCTGACTTGAATATTGAATATATTAGAGATGGCTGCTTCACGGCGTAATGTAAATAAAGATGTCAAAATAGCTGGCCATCCTAATGTTAAAAAAAAAAAAAAAAAAAAAAAAAAAAAAAGAGACAGGGATAACAACTGAAATATAGTACCTCAACTTTTTGAATTTAAGCCAAGTACTAGACTGGCATCCAGATCTCATTATTTTACAGTTGAGATTTATAGATGTAGCCATAAATTCTATGCTAACAGTTTCTTTTTGCACACTTCTCGCTTGTGGAACTCCCTTCTGACTCAATGCTTTCCAGCCATCTGCAAAATTTTAAATGTAATGCCAGTAAATATTTACTGTCCTTCTGATTACTCTTTTCTCTTCCCGCTCATTAGTAATGTTTCTGTTCCTCATTCTTTCACACCCAGTAACCCCTTGTGTCTTAGTGGCTTTACTGCCTTGCTTGGGTTGAAACTGATTAAAAAGAAAAAAGAAGAAGGTACCTATTAAAAATAACGTTTAGTGATAAGAAATAATGAATAAAATCATTGTTGTATCCTGTTGGTACTCCTATATTTTTTTAAAAACTGGAAGAAAAAGCTTAAGCAGCATTGTTGTAATACTGATGCAGGATATAAAGAGGCCTCAAAAGCAACAAAACATGTGGTCTGTGGCCCAGCTGACTAGGATAAAGTGTAATATCTGTTCCAGCAGCAGCTGCTGACCACCAGCCCCCAGCTATCAACATCTCCAGTTTGCCATTGTCTGTTGCTCCAACCACCTCCAGCTCCTGTCGCTACAGCCATTCTTGTCAAAGATATACAATAACTATCCTTTTCAGGCCGCCACTCTCTGGTGGCAAAATGCTATTTCTCACCCTCTACATGAGCTTGCCTACTTCACATTAACATTATTTTTGTTTATATATTTTTCTTTAACCAAAATAAACTTAGCAAATTGTTTTTTTATTCAAATCTTCATTTTTGTTGTTGTCTTCTGTCAGTAAATATCTGTTTGTGGGCCAATATACCACCCACAACAACATCCCTTCAAAAATATATTTATACACATACACACTTACATCAGCCATGTCAACAAGTTCAAGGAGTTCAGGGGAATTTGAATTGCAGTTATTGGTCAGCTGAAGATAGATGTCAAGTAGTCTGTGAATAGACTGAAGCAATTGCGAGAGAATGTCCACTAGCCTGAGCTGGAAGACAGGATCTGCAGACGGGCCAGCAAATCTCCTCAGGTGATTCGTCATTCCTTGCAGGGACTTGTATGCACCTCGATACGCAGAGGTCAGTCGAGATTTTGTCAAATTCATCTACAAAAGATCAAGTCTCAAGTTAGAAAACGCAGAGAGAGCAAGATTTTCACAGGATGAAAGAAAAAACTTCAATGATAAAAAAAAAAATATCATGGCTTGTTTGCTGCATATTAATGTTTTTTGAATTCTTTTTTCATGAAGAAGTAACAGATTAACAAACTATATCATATGCAATAAGTAATAGTAATTCAGGTAAATGGAGCACAACAGCCCAGGAAAGAAGTCCATCTAGGGAGGAAGAAAAACCCTGATATTAAACCTCCACTACCTTGCGGTCATATCCAAAACACAGAAAAGACTATGGAAGTAAATCTAGACAGAAAACCCAAAGTAGAGCCCCGAAAGCAGTTGGCTGTCAACAATGGCAACTTTCCATCAACTCCTGCAGCCAAGCCATTCCCAAATGTAATACCCTGTATTCCTTTGGATCTTGTTATGATCAAGAGGGTGCCATGTAGTTTGGGCAGTGCATGCTCTCCATATATCATTTGTCAGGCCTGTGCCCTGGAGAGGTCACTCCAGTTTCACCACCAAAAGACTGAATTTTGATCAAATAGGGTGCTACCTTTACGTCACAAGATAAACAGATTACTACTACTACTATTACTACTAAGTAATAGAAAGTTTTCTCTCAAAGTGTATTCGAGCAAAAGTTTTATCAGTTATGCAAGTTTTATTGATACAACATGTATTTGAGTTTCTATGTGTTGATTAGGGTTAGGACTTAATGGATTTCCTGTATCATAATTCAATGAACATTTGTTAACAAGAATGAAGAATGGTTTAATACATATTTTCTTTTTTTTTTTAAATGTTACCCCCAACATGAAATTTCTAAAATCGTATACAAGTAGTATTACGGCCTTCTAGTACTTGTTTTTGTTTATATGTAAGGTTGTAGGTCATGCTACAGCTATAAACTATTAAATGCATTTAAAAAAATACATAAGTACTATCCAATTACATGATTAGCAAACTGAAAAACAAAACTTCTGAAATATTTTGACTTTTACTCTTATTGCATGCATACATGATAAAAATCAAATTTTCAGTTTGCTGGTGACCTTTTTCAAAAATTAAATCATTACTCTTGAACAAAAGTTCATCAAATTATGACACAGGAACATAGGGTTACAAGAAAGTCATAACCCTAGTGTATGTAGGTATATATATAAATATATGATAAAATATAGTTTTAAGTTATGCTATATTGATGGGTAAAAGTGCTCAGTATCTGGGATAGTGCATGTGGAAATATAAGAGTGGGTAATGAGGTCAACACCAAGTAACGACAGTCTGTTCCATACTTGAATGCAATATTTTGCCACTCAGTATACATTATATATATATATATATATATATATATATATACACACACACCTAACTACTTACTCACACATACATGTGTACATATGAAGTTGTTGCATTCACTTTCACACAAATGCATGTGGGAAAGATACGATCCCATTTCTCCTACCCTCAGCTAAGGATAAAGTAACAGGGTAGACTGGGCTCTCTAGTCTAGGCTGCTAACAAGTCTGTGAAAAGGAAAACTCTGAATTCAAGCCTGAAAAGGGCTGTTTTGAAATTTTGTGGCCATTTCTTGATCATCAGTTCTTATGAAAAAATATGGCTGTTAAACAATTGTCAGACTTAATCCATTTCATTATATGTTTTCATTTTTTACGTTAAGATACGTTTCATGAGCTGATATGATTGATCAAGGAAAAGATTGTAGGTTTATAAACAGTAATTTGGATTTTGCTAACCAGACACTTCTCTGTAGCTAAATGGTATAGCACATCAGATCAAATGACAGTTTTTGTACAGGATTACATGTTTGATTCTTTTTGAAGAATGCATATTTTCTATGAAATTTTTCAAATATTCAGACTGGTAAATGTAATTAATACTGTTTAATTAAATAAAGAGCATTTTCAGATTTTGTATAAATTTAAATTGTTATATTTTTTGGAAAAGTGAATACTGTTCAGTAATGTGTTCAGTGTATTTCTTTCTCTTAATATATATTTTTTTTTTAATTTTGGAAATTTATTCTTTCTTTTTTAATAAGCTTGTATATAAAAAGTTGTGCACCCTAGGGGTTAATGGATAGGTTGAAGAGGTCTAGTTGAGTAGTCATGAGACCTCACACCCTTTGATATTTTTTTTTTGAGGCCATTTGAAATCAACTGTTTATCACACACATCCAAGAAATATTGAGGAACTTAAGGAAAGAATTAAATATGAATGCAGTAAAATGACAGAGGAAACTCTTTGACATGTTAACCAATCATGCAGGCACAGAATTGAAATGCGTTTTCAAAAAGCAGGAGGACATTTTGAACAGCACATATAACAATTAAATAATTAGTAAATAAAATTTTCATGTGTAATTATACTTTTAATAAACTATCCCTATGGTGTGTGACTTTTACTTCACCCAGTGTATGTGTTTAACACACACACACACAGAGGGATGGGCAAAAATCACTTTACCTATTTCCAATAATAATAGTAAACAAATTTCTAAATTATTTAAAAACAGATTGAAATTATAATTGTACAATGATTAAATAAAAGTTATGTTATTTAGAAATTTGAGTTTATCATTATTGTAAATGGGTGAAGTGACTCTTGGCCTTCCCTGTATATATATATATATATATATATATATTTATTTATTTTAAAGAGAATATAGAAGCTATTTTTTGGTTATAACATGAATTTTTAAAAATATATATCATACTTTGTTTTCAATATTTTTTTTGCTACACACGTTTCAGGTCTTGTGACCTTCATCAGGTGAAAAGTGGTTATTTCCACATATTATTTAAAAGAATTAATTTTTTCTTTGTTTTCTTATGGAACAATTATAACCTCTCTTGACATTATATATTTTGTTTGTTTTGGGTTTGTTTTATATATATATATATATATATATATATATATATATATATATATATATATAAATTAGTACCCAAAACAAACAAAATAATTTCCTCAATGTATTCAGAATGCAATTTATAAGATCTTTTATGTTGCTTAATTTTTAATAAACAAAAAACATTTAACATAAAACTGAACTTACTTATGTAACAGGAACAATACATGGCCTTTCCTCAACACAGTGCAAAAGATGTTACTAGAAACTTTTGCATCAGTCTTGTAGATAGGGGAAGAGGCAGAAAGAGCTTAGTTTAATTTGGTACATGTCCATAGTGAAGTGAGATCCCAGAAAAGAATGAAATCATTATGTTAGCAAATCATCAGTTTGCTAGAGAATTTTAGGTTAAAGGCAATAAAGCCACTAAGACACGGTGGGGGGGGGGGTACTGAGTGTGAGAATATGAGAAAAACTCTTGACAGTCATGAAAATGAATTCCTTAGTTTATAAACTAAAATACAATTTTTATACGAAGTCATTAGTCAGAGACAAAAAGGAAGCTTATAACTAGCAGAAAAAAATGGCACCTTGTTTGCATACACATGTCCAACAGTCTTGTAATTATGCATAACATTCAACTTGCGCTCAACATCTGCAATTTGTTGCTGTACAATATACACTTGTCGAGTGATGGATCTCAAAGCCCCTTGTTCATGGCTTGGGTCAGGCGGTTCTTGATCCTCTTCAGGAGGGACTGACTTGGGATTGTTACATTCTACAATGACACAAATAGAAATAAAAGCAGCTACTTAACAAAAAAGAAAGAAAAAAAAAAAGGTGTTTTTTTCCATTTGTTTGGGATATCCAAGCTGTAGGAAAAGTAGGAAGAGAGAAAAGAAAATGAAAGTAAAACTATGAGAAGAAAAAAAAAAAAAAAAGAATTAAGGCAAAAAAAGGTCTTCTACATGTAAAGAAATCAAGATTTATTTTTATTTTAATTAAAGTGACTTGAAACCAAAAACTCCAAGTTTCTACAAAAAAAGAAAGATTCCAAGGACTTACTCTATGAAAAGTTGTAAAATATAGACAGAACATAGGAATCTGAAGATAAGAATGTTTGTGTCATTAAGACTTCGTGGGGGTCACTCACATCATATCAGCAGGGATAGCCTCGTGTTAACTAATCTACAATTTTCATTTATTTATTTATTTATTAATTAATTGTGATATATTTCATAGATTAAGACAATTATCTAAAATACGGGAAGCAACCAACACGTAGTTACCTCCCCTGCATTGTATCTATCAAGGAATTCATTTTTATTCAGGCTTTAGTGACAGTAAAAAAGAAATTATCAAAATTAACCAATGATGTTATTTACATGATTTACTTTCGGACCATTGTCCTCATCTTTGTTGTTGTTGACAATAGTTTGAATGTAAATAACGATAACTCCATATCTCAGAAATTTAGACAGAAACAAAAAATGTAAATTTATAATTTTATTAATGCTGCCAAAACTTGTGCCTTTTTATTTCACCGGAGTTGAAAACTAATTTGCTGTCCAATGTGTGAGATAAAGATCTGTTGAGGGAGACAAAAGTTATCTCCCTTTGACTAAACCTTTAAAAAAAAACTAAAAATAGATATATAGATAGTCACGTGAACAGCCCAAGGGATCGTTAGGTGCAAAAGTCAAACATCCTCTGTGGATCCTGGCAGTCAAACCAGAAAGACGTACTTATTTAGGTTAATTAATCCAATAGCACACTTTCTCGCACAACAGATCAAATCCTTTTAAAATCTATTGAGATTTCTCTAATACCCCAATAATTGATAAGATCAAAAATAATATAGACCAGTTCAGTACCAGTCACTTTGCTGATGGCAAGATGATTAAACTTCAAATCTAAATTGTTTGTTCATTTGAAATGCTATATTTATTAGAAAACATATTCACTTGGAATGCAGAAGGTGTCATAAAAATCAATGTAAAGGGATTCACATTTCGGCTTATACTCTTTTCCAGTGACCCAGATGTTGACAAAGTGAAATTAGTCCTTATGATACAGTTGTCCATTTCAATTTCATTCAATGTGTGCATCTATGTTTGCATATGCACATGTATCTTTGACAAACTTAAAAATATTTCTAGAAAATAAAAAAAAAAAGAAGTTAAGATGTAATTTTATTTATTACCAAATAATTCCTGCAAAGATAAATAAAAATCTAATTTTTTTCTTTTTTAGTGTTTAAAAAAAAAAAAATCAAGAGCCTTTTTCTTCCACTTGTCTCCAGCTTAGTTTTATTGTTCAGTCCAAAGAAGGGGTTGTCCAGACTGATTCGAAGGAAATGTGTTATTCCAGTGTCTTATTTCAAACTCAGTAAAATTGTGTGTGTGTGTATGTGTGTGTGTGTGTATACATTTTTTTGTAATCTATCACATGTACATAATACAAGTAATAACAGAAAGACTTCAATGCAAAATAATAAAGTATTTAATTACTAAACTGTTGTAACCTGGGTAAGGTTACTGAATAGAATAATCAAATGAAGGTTGGTAATGATGATAATACTAAGGACAAGAACACATATAAGATTGGCCAGTAACGTGTAGAAGAAGAAGTCAACTGCTAGAAGTGAGTCAAGTGAATGTCACAATGAATCTCTAACTCTAGAATATCTACCAATTGCCTAATGCGGTCAGATGTGGTACAAGGCTGAATTTATATGGGGTATCTGAGCCCGTAGGCTTGGTCAAAAATTCCCCATAGACCTCGTATAAAATGGGGTCAGGTAGCTGTTTCCCTGAGACAAGATTCTGCCCGCCGGCATAAGCTCGTCTGGGGATCCTCTCTGACCAGAGGCAGAGAGTTTGACCAGCATGGCTAGAGACTAATCTTCAACTTGAGACCACATACAGTATTCACTATTGTATTTATGGGAATGAGGAGCATACCCATTATTGTCCGTAGGTATGCTACAACACCCCATTTTTTGGATTTACTCTGTACAGAGTCAATATTTTTTCCCCTTTTTTGGTTGACTTTGATTCTTTCCGTATTCCTTTTTTTTTTTCTTTCACTCAGTCTTTTTCTGACTTCTATTTCCGGAGCTTTCTGAGGAATGGGTAAATCAAATGTATTAAAAATAACCTCCATATGTTCAACCTCATCTAGAGTAGTGTTATCTTCAGTTGAGTACCTACTTTTAATTTGATTATATGCCTCTTGCGCACCATTTCAGGACCTTCTTGCTAACCCTAGAAAACTTTGTAGGGCACTGATATTTTCAAGAGCAGGCATGTCCTTCATAGCACTGGCTTTTGCTGGATCTGGTCTCCTGCCCTCCTTGTCAATTATCTGACCTAAATATTTAATTTTGTCCATAAAGAATTCACTCTTTTCGTCCATCAGTTTGAATCCATTGTCCTGAAAACTTTGAAAATATTTTTCTTGTGTTCTTCTGTGTTTTCACTTTTCAGTAAAATATTGTCAGGATAAGCAACTACAAAGTTCAGTTCACTCAGCATTGTGTCCATTACTTGCTGGAAAAAAAAAAAAAAGGAACATTTATGCCAAAAGGTAAACGATTAAATTTGCACACCCCACGATGTGTATTTATGGTCAGTAATCTTGAAAATTTGTCGTCTACTGGAATTTGAAGATACACATCACTTAGGTCAATTTTGGAAAATATCCAACCACCACTAATCTACATAAAAACCCCTTCTGGCCCCAGAAGTGGATAAGGATACCTTTTGAGGGCATCGTTTAAGCCTGTGGAAAAATCTGCACAGACACGTATCTCTTTTGACTTTCTTTACATATACAGTTGGTGAAGCCCAATCAGTCTATTCCACCTTCGATAAAACACCCATTTCTTCAAGTCTATCAAGCTCATCATCAAATTTGTTTTAGTGAAGCAAATAGTACATTTCGTTTCTTTTTAGAAACTGGTTGAACATTTTTCTTTTAGCTCAAATTTAGTTTTCATTTTTTTGCACCTGCCTAACCCACCAGAAAATACATCTGGGAATTTATTTTTTATTTCTACTTTTAGATTTTCTACTTTGTTAGTAAAACCTTTCACTTTTTGGTAAAACAAATTGATTAGACTGTTCCATAAGTTGAACTGCTCCATCCAATCTGTTTCAAACAGGTTATTTGTGTTTTTCATGACAAAAAGTCTTAACTTTCAGGTTTTATCTTTTAATGTTACATTTGTTATAAATTCACCTTTGAATTTTATTTTCTGTAACATTACGAGTGATTCATTGGTTACCATTAACATTGGTTTACCCAATTATCTCCATGTATAAACATTTATTATACTCAAATCAGAACCACTGTCAAGTTGCAGTTTGACATTTTTGTTCAGTAGTTTTACCTGGACAAATTTTCTTATAGCAGATTTATCCATGTTAATAATTTTAATGTAATTGCTCACTCATTTTTTAAATTTTGTCTTACAATGGATTTTTTTTTATGTCCTTTTTTTCCACACCAAAAACATTGTTTCTTTTTGTAAGGACAATCATTATACCAATGTAATTCTCCACAAGCATAACTGGGGTTAGGAGTGATGCTTTTTTCATTCTTCACTTTATGTTTCTGATACACCTTTTTAATGTGCAACACGCTGCTTATCTTATCTTTGGCATCTTGATGAACATTTATGAATTTCTAACAATCTTCTGCTAGGTTTTGCAACATTAATTGAATTCATTTTCCAATTTATTTGAAATCCTTCTACAAATTTCAGTGTCTTTTATTGACACCTAACCCTTGCATAAATATCAAGCATTTAAAATTGTCAGGACTTAATTCTGCCAATTTGAATTTTCCACAATTTTTGTTCACAATGCTTGCGAACGTTGTGAAATTGTCATCTTTGTTTTTCACTAAATTCATACATTTCCATCTTTGATGGAACACAGACGTTTTTAGGCTGAAAACTTCTAAAAGCAAAGTAACCATTTGATTAAATGTTAGGTCACCAGTCTTCTTTGGTAATATATTGTTTATGAACTTAGTGTGTTCAACAGTGTCTAGTTTTCTTAGCAAAAGTCCTGACCTATTTATAGTCAGACCAGTTTGCACAACCTTATACAAGTCTCTTCATATCTACAGAAATATGATGAAAAAGTTAACTCTTTTTTTCTTGCATATAGTGAAATACCGTAATTGCATTTACAACAGCATCTTCAGAATATACATTCTCATTACTTGTGAACATTTTCTGTTGTTCTACCAACATTTCAAGGAGTTTTTCAAGTTTTTGTTTGTACTGTTTTTGTTGTTTGTCTTGCCGTTTGACTATTTCAAGTAGTATCATCTTAAAGTCTTCCATTTTTTTTTTTTAAAGTACTTTTCACAAATTTTTTTTTTTTTCACAACTGTTTCTCAAAACATTCAAAAGTATTCCTACGTAACACTTTATAGCAAGAAACACTCAACAATACATGAATATTTTGTACTTGAATTTCACATAACTTTGTTACATTTTTTGTATTTGGAATAAACCTGTTTTGTACAAATCCATGTAGTTGTTAAAAAACCTTTTTTTTTAACAATGAAGCCTTGGTGAAATTTTAATGTGAGATTTTGGCAATATCTTTATTTGCTAAAGTTGTACTGGTGAGCATTTCCTTGATTTAATGACAAATTCTTGAAAATAAAATGTCGCACTAGTGATGTTTCCCTTGATTTGGTTAAATCCTCATCAGTAAAATATTGTAATTTGGCCAATCATTGTTGCAAAAATGTTGTTATTTTGTGTAATCCTTGTCGCGAAAATGTAATTTTGGCTAATCCTCATTGCCAAAATCTTGTAACCTAGAGAAGGTTACTGAATAGAATAATCAAACAAAAGGTTGGTAATGAATGATAATACTTAGGACAAGAATAACAAAGTTCACCAGCGGTATGTAGAAGTAGTCAACTGCTAGAAGTGAATCAAGTGAATTCCACAATGAATTTTCAACCCTAGACCATGTACAGTATTCACTGCTGTATTTATGGGAATGGGGGCATACCCATTATAGTCTGTTATTATGCTACAACATAAATGCAATTAAAATACATTAACAACAAAGAAGTAAATCATCAATGGAAAGATTATTGATTACTTATCAGTTAATACACGACTGTGTAGAGCTGCAAGTACTAATTCATCTTGAAACATGGGACACTCAACTTTAACATTCAGGTTAACACAATAGTCAAACACGTAATTGTCACTAACACAGTCAGTGGTATGATATCTCTATTTATAGTAAATGTTGGTTTACATTTTCATTGTCTAGAGATTCACGTTCAAACTCAGGTGTCAGCAGTGACACTTTTCATTCATCTATGACAACGTTAAATGGTGCTAGTACATGTAAGACACTCACACACAAAGCAGGGCTATGCGCATGCCAAGTCACACGCTGACAGTGTGTGACAGAGAATTTCCTCTTTTATAATATAAATTTTATATTTCTATAAAAGCTGGGGATGAAGGACAAAGATTTGACAGTAACTGTAATGGGACAAAAATAATGAATAATCAATACAACAGCAATATTAATAACTGAACAATAACATTATTATGTGTAGATTGGTGGCCTACCTTTCACCAGATTCTCAAGGAGATCTCTCATCTCTGTAATCTGTTTACCAATATCTCCTTGAAGACGTTCAATATCTTGAAGGCATCCAATGTTGGGCTCTTTGTCATGAGTAGGAGGTGAATTGGTTGTAGCTGAAAAGTTAAAACAGACAAACATTTGGATGCTTCCTTTTTAAATTAAAATCCATATACAGTTTCTGAAAATCCTTACATACCATATTTCCCATTGTATAGATCCTACACACATAATTTGGCAAGGTATATTTAGGAAAAAAAAAAAAAATAGATGTTATTTTATTTCTGGGTAAATGTTTTCCCAGTAACATTCTAATTTATAATCATGTATACTTCATTCTGGTGTCAGAAAGGGCTTAATGTGTCAAACAAGAGTTCTTATATTTGAACATTATTTTAATTTTTAATTCTAATTTAATCTTTTATCATATATTTCATTCAGGAATCATCAAGGTGTCAAATAAGAGTTTTTAATATTTTAACATTATTTTAATTTGTAATTTTTATTTAATCATTTATAATCATATATATTTAATTCAGGGGTCATCAAGATGTCAGAGTTTTTAATATTTTAACATTGTTTTGATTTGTCATCCTAATTTAATCATTTATAATCATATATATTTTATTCTGGAATCATCAGGGTGTCAAATAGGAATTTTAAATATTTTAATATTTGATTTGCAATCCTAATTTAATAATTTCAAATTATAAATAAATTATTAAAATATTATTATAAATATTAATATTATTAATTAAGTAAAACAGGCAAGAAAAAAATGTTTGATTTATTATGCACCAAAGTTCCCAGTCAAAAGTTGCTAATAAAAGAAAATATTAATTCCATTTTTATGCAGGAATCCATTAAACATTGCATTATTTAACACATATCCTACATGGCCATTCACAACCTCCCCCACATAATTATAAACTGTAAGTTTGAAATGTGAGAATTTTTTTGAAACATGTCTGAAATTTTCCAAGTGTCATTTTAAACTAATCATATGATTTAACAACTTATAAAATATATTTTTTAATAATTTTTGCTTACATTGCAAACATTTTACTGTTGCATTAATTTTTATCAAATAATTACTACAAGAAAACAAAGAAAACAAAATGACAAGAACTTAGTAATTTAATTAAGATGAAAAAAAAAAAATAGAAAGTAAAAACTGATCTATGTGCAATCTCTTGAAATATATATGCGATTAACTTACGAAATGAAGAAAAACAATTGATATGATTGATTTGTTCTTTATGGCTTATCAACCCTTTATGAGTTACTTAAAGCCAAACATTTTTAGAACAATTCATTTTTTTGTGAATGAATATTGCATTAACAGTTTTATTGAGAATAATGCGGATACTTCCAGATGCAAGTCATACTATTTAAGCCATAGCTAAGGGGAGAAGAGATGGATTCATACCTTTCTCAAGAGTATTTGCATGTAAGTAAATGCAATGAACCTAACTGGAATTTGAACTCAGCACTCCGATTTCTCATTCCCAGTAGCTATTCATTACAAATACCTGCAAGTCCTCAGTTGATAGGAAAAGAATCATACTTTTTGTTTGTTTATATATAGCGGATGCAACAGCAAAATTGTCCAAATCATTTTACAGCCTACTTGTCCATCTCACAAAATGTTTAATATCTAAAAACCCACTAAACTAATTGAGTTTCTTTTTTTCTAGGTTTTCAGATAAGACATTTGGCCATCTTGACACCATTTGTTGTAAGAATCACCAATAAACCCTTTGATTTATTCAGCTTGAAAGAGAACAGGTTAAAATTGTTTTGTAGCAGCCCTGCTGTTGTTCAGGCCTTCAGTAATGGTACCAACATTCATACTTTGGCTTCCATCTTCAAAGTCCATTCAAGAACCATCAAGAGAATGGTGAATAAGTTTTTTTTTTAGGGGAACAGTAGAGAAGAAAACTGGATCAGGAGATTAAAAACAGGAAGAGGGATCATTTCAACTTAGAGCTAAAGAGATCGATTAGAAAAGATCCAACTCAATCCATAAGGCATTTGGCATGTGAGAGAGGTGTTTCAACCATGATAATCCTAAGAGCAGTGAAAAAAAGACTTGAAAATGAAATTGTATGTGAAACCAGTGAGGCACTGTGTTACTCCAGGACAGAAAGTAGAAGGGTTAGAGAGGGTGAAGATCATCTTGAATATGTTGAAAAATGATCCTGGAAAAAAATACATATATATATATATCTGAAGTTAATTTCAATCCTTCATGAGCTTCCAATCCTTAGCTATGATTAATTAATAATGAACATGTCATTTTCATTTATGATCAATTTCATCATGATTCTTCTGGAGAGTAATTATACATTCTTATTGCTCAAAGTAGAGTCTAATAGTGTTAGAAATACTTTGGAGAATTCCAGTAAGATATCTTTACAGTGTTTCATGGCTTTTCCAATCATCAGGTACAAAAAGTTATGAACTGTTCAATATGGCTGTTTTTTTTTTTTAATTTGTAAGTCTTATGAGAGAAACGTTACATTCTGTGCAGATTCAAAGTTTAAGATTATTATAAATATGATATAGTATTAGAGCATAAATTCAAAATATAGAGTGTTTGTTGGTTGGTGGATATAGAAAAATAAACTAAGTTATTAATAGGAAGTTTAATAGGGATATTGATCCGTTAATGTGTATTGAGTCAATGGATAAGATTATTGCAATATGAACTAAAAAACTAGATAATCTCACTACTCACCTGGAAGTTGCGATAGTGGCGTGGGTTCAGGTGATTTTCTTTTGTTAGAGACACAGGTAATTTGGGCACTAGCATTCTTCTTGGGTTTGTTGCTTACTTCATGTACCTAGAAAATGCAGACAGTATATATATATATATATATATATATATATATATATATATATATATATATATATATATATATATATATATAAAATATAAGTACAGCATATATACAAAAAAAATCATCAACAACTAATAGATTACCATAAAACATTTGTTGAAAAATGTAAAATACCACAGAAAGTTTCTAGATTAGTCTGAGAAAAAAAATAAACCACTATTATTCATGTAATTTTTTTTTTACTATTGCTCACCCAATACAAGGACCAAGTGCCACTCAAGGTAGAGCTTTACTGAATGACATGTGTGAAATGAATGTAAGAGGAGAAAGTAGGAAGATTATTACAAAGATATGGCATATAGATAATGCCTAACCCTAGACAAGAAGAGGTTAAGATTGTAATATTTAGGGAAACATCGATGTGGGAGTCTGTTCCACAAAGTAGATGTTCTTGGGAAGAGGAAGTGCTTTCATGAAGTTTACCATTATTCCCATAATTTATTTTTCTATAGATCATCCAATACAAGGCCTAAGAGCTACTCAAGATCGAGGATTACTGAATGTGATGTGAATGTAAGAGGAGGAAGTAGAAAATGAAGATTATGAGGATATGGTTGATAGATAATGAGTGACCCTAGACTTGAAGAGGTTAAGATTGTAGCATTTGAGGAAGCATCCATGTGGGAGTCTGTTCCACAAAGTAGTGGTTCCTGACAAGAAAAGGTGGTTTCAGAAAGTTCCCGAATTAGTCGGAGAATAAATAAGTCCACCTTTATCTCCTGTAGTTTATTTTTCTATAGATCACCCAATTTAGGAGTCTGTTCCACAAAGTAGTGGTTCTTGGGATGAAGCCTTCTGAGTCGAACACCCTTCCTACCAAGGAAATGAAGAGTGATTCAACTCTGTGATGTTGGATGTATCAAGTTGAGTCTAAGCTGTAAAGGTCTGAAGTGGTGGCACTAAAGAATGGAGTTTGTTCCAACATCTGTGATGGATGTAGCAATAGAGTTAATAATCAGTTTGCGATATTGCATTTGTGGGAAAGGAGCTGCTGGGTGGAAACATAATAGGGGTTTCTGTGGAAATCGACTTTTTGGTTGGGTTTATGGATATTTTCCACATTTCTTGGGGTGTTTGCTGGTGACTGGTTACCTTGGAATATTCACCATCTTGAACGGACATTTAACCAGCCTTGAAATGTCAAAGTTCATGCAAGAAGCAGACTTGGTCATGCTTCATGCAAAATTTGATGAAGGAATGTTGTGTCAATTTGTCAGCCATCAGAGAGATCACAGAGCTACTTCAACATGACAAAAACTTGCTCAATAACTGAACATTAGTACATAGCACAAATCCAAGTGAAGACTGATTCAGTAGGCTGGATGCCAATGAATGTTAGCTGTAAATGCATTCTCATTGGATGGGATCAATAAGAGAGCATACAGTTTGGGATTGATTTGTTTTTTTGTGGGTTATTTAAAGATGAAAAATTTTTTGGGTTGTAAGAATATGATATTTTTGCAAGTGAATATTGCATTAACATTTTTTTTTTTGAGAATAATAATATTTCTGGATGTAAGTCCTACTATTTAATCCATATCTGGGGGAGATGGATTCATACATTTCCTAAGAGCATTTTTTTTTGTGGGTAATACTTTACTATTACAGACCCCTCTAATACGCATACGCAAATGAAGTAGAAGAATTGATTAAGAGTGAACATTTTCTCCAATATTTGAGAGATAAAAGATTCTCACAGGTCAAATAGAAGGAAAGAGAGACAAAGGAAAACTACACATGACATACCTAGCAGGCTTAAGTGAGTGGATGACAGAACATGGTCTGGAGGAGGTAGCAGAGGGAAGAAACTTGTTGAGAGCTGCAAGGGATAGAGGGAGGGTGGAGAGCCATGAAAGGACATGTCACATACGAAAGAAAGAATCTCAGATCATATCTGAAATGTTCGGATCTGATGAAATTGATAAAAAAAAAAAAAAAGAAACAATTGTTTGAACAGATATATTTGGAAATGTTGATGAAGTGGCTATTTGGAGGAATCAAACACATGCAGATAATCAAAAATAGTTGGCTGAATTTAAAGTTCCTACGTGAAAATGGTACATATGGAACTCCCCATCAGTGGGAGCACATATATGAATACATATTTAAGAGAAAAAAAAAAAAAAAATCAAAAGAAGTTTTTTGAAAAATAAGTTGAAACAATAAATAGATTGTATATTTTGTAACACGTCACTTTTTTTGTTTGCGTCTGAGTATTAGAGTGGTCGGTAATAATAAACTTTTACCTTTTTTGTGTGTAAATATTGAATTAACATTTTGTTTTTTGAGAATAACAATGATTTTTCTCAATACAAGTCCTACTATTTAATACATATCTGGGGTGGGTGGGGTCGAGATAGATTCCTACATTTCCTAAGAATATTTGTGCATAAGCGAATGTAATGTCAAGTAGAATTCAAACTCAACTCTCCAGGTTTTTATTCCAAGCCACTATCCATTAAACCACCCACACATGATACAGTTTGGGAATTTTCTGTTACCATCTCAAATATCTATAAAGTAAATTTAATTGTTTTTTTTTTTTTTAATTCAACTAAGTTGAAGTTTCATATACACAACCCTCTAACACACCCACACACAAAAAGAAACTTAGCATGTGTGACTTTCACATGTGAAGTGTGGTGTTACTGTAATTTCTTGAAAATACGCACCCCAACAAATGATCCAAAAATTAAGAAATATATCTATCCCTATGTATAATACGCATTTATAAATTTTGTCAAAAAAAAAAAAAAAAAAAAAAAAAAATAAATAAAAATAAAATAATTATGAAGACAATTTGTCAAACTTGACATTAAGAATAAAATTAAAACTAAGCGGCTAAAATAATGTTGAAAATTACCATACGGTTTTCCCGATAAATATGACATTTTATTTTACCGCCAAAATGTTGTCAAAACATGCGAGTTATACTATAAATTTTAAACAAAAAGTAATAAAATTAGCAGAAAGAATAGAAAACAGAGCTGCAGCTAGAGAATATGAATTGAATGAGGCTAACATACGTTTATGGAGAAAGAATAAAAATAAACTAAAATAGTGCAAATCAAGTGTTAAAGCTATAGGTAGAGGAAGATATTGATTTTATAATAGAAAGTGATGATGATGATGAAAATTAAAATTTCAATAAATTGTTAACTTGATATCCTCTCTTCTTCGAAATTGGCCTTTTTATAGATTTTTTTTATTTTTTCACCAAATAAAAAAATACTGATAAACAAAGTTATTGACAAAAAAATGTTACAATTATTTTTGTTGGATTTAAAATGAAAATTAGGATATCTTATTTTAGAACAAGTATGTATTTATTATTATAAATCAACAATGAAAAAAATATTTTTGCTTAAACCTATTTATAATACACACCTCTACCATCACCTATAATTTACAGTAAAAAAAAATGTGTATTATTTCTGTGAAATTATGATATATAGTATGTGAAAGTAAGCACTACAGTGAAGAAAATAAGTATTTTTTTTTTAAATCATTTCACCACAAGCAAGATATACCATTGGGTTGCAGGGAGTGTAAGAAAATGAGAAGAGTTTAGTGGGGGGAAGTGAGGAAAAGGACAATAAAAGAACAGGATCCAGGAAGGCAGAAGATAGCAATTGATGTTGCATTTAAGTTTTTGAAGAGTGTAAGTGACAGGGAAAGCAAGAAATCAGAAGGGAGTTCCAGAAGTTTGGTTGATTTTGTTTTGCAGTATATCAACCATTTTGTTTTGCAGTATATCAACCATTATGTGTTATTTAATGCTGAAATCTAAATATTTTGAACACAATTTTATGGTTTAAACTAAATATATTTTGAATGCAATTGTCTGCTTCAACTACAGATACAACGTAATGTTGGTCATTTTATTATAAAAATGTATTGCTGGTTGGTTGATTTTGTTTAGTGGCATATTAACCTCTATTAGTTATTTAATGCCGAAATCTAAATGTTTTGAACACAATTGTATGCCTTCAGTTACACATAATATGTATTGTTGGTCATTTCTTTTTTTTCTAAAAGTTTATTGCTGGTATTTTTACTATAAAAATGTCTTTTTATACTTTCATAGTGTTTTGTTTTGGCAGGCTCACTATTTGCCCAAAGCTGGGACCCTAACAGGTGCTACCACCTAGAGTTCCACAAGTGAGAAGTGTAAAAAACAAACTGTTAGAATAGGACTTACAGTTACATCTCTAGCTAGTCAGCAGTAAAACTGTGAGACCTAGTTGCCAATCACAAGTGGAAGGAACATGGCTCAATGGTAAGCTGTCTTCTATCTGGAGTCACTTAAAACATTTACAGCCATTAGGCATACAGGATTGTAAGAAAAGTATGATCTTGGGGATTTTACAAACATTAAGCAGGACTTTATAGAAAGGACTTTTATTCTCAATCTTTTCTCAATTTCTCTATTAGGTTAATTTATAAGTAACTTTCTTTTTTGGGAACCAGTTGTAATGACTGATGTATTAGGTTGAAATGATGCACTTTATAGGAAATGAATAAAACATTTCTGAAATTTTAAATAACCAATTTATTTAGTTGAAATAGGCGCCATGTTGATGAATGACTGTTCTCCAATGTACTTCTAAATTCTTGATCCCATCTTTAAAAAAAATTCTTGGTGTGATAAACAATTCAATTGCTTTGATTACTTCTTCCCTATTGGAGAAGAATGTTCTATTGCATATGAAAAGTATTGAAATGCTTAAATAAGTGATAATCATTTGGAGAGATATATAAGGTGAATATGGAGGATGAGGTAAAATTTTATAATTCAGGCTATGCAGCTTTTGGACAGTTGATTGAGAAGCATGCAACTGTGCATTGTCGTGCAGCAAAATTGGGCCTTCCCTATTCAAAATTCTAGGTTTCTTTTTCAATTTTTTTCTGCAAAATTGGGCCTTCCCTATTCAAAATTCTAGGAGGTTTCTTTTTCAATTTTTTTCTGCAAAATTGGGCCTTCCCTATTCAAAATTCTAGGAGGTTTCTTTTTCAATTTTTTTGTGCAAAATTGGGCCTTCCCTATTCAAAATTCTAGGAGGTTTCTTTTTCAATTTTTTTGTGCAAATACTCAATTTCTCCACAATACGTGGTTGCTATTATTGCTTTTCCATTGAGGCAAGAATGAATAATGAATAACCCCTTGGAAAGACCTCCATACAGTAGCCATTAACTTTTTAGGATGAGTAGAGGTTTTGGGTATTGCCAGCTAACCACTGGCCTATTCTCCTACTGTTGTCAAAGATTATCCATTTCTCATCACATGTAATGATTCTATGCAAAATTTTTTTCCAGTCAGGAAAACAAGAGAGAGAGAGCACACCTCAAAGCAACGTTTTTTTCTTTGAGTCTCATTCAGTTCATGTAGAACAAACCTATCCAGTTTCTTTACTTTTCTAATTGCTTTCAAGTGCCAAGAAACAGTTGTGCAAGATGTTTTAAGTTCTGATGCCAGGTTTTGGACTGTAGTTCTCAGATTTTGATCAACCGAAGCATTCAATTGATCATGTCTAATCAATCAATAGTAGGCTTCCCCTTAATTTATTTTCAATACTATAATCTCCTAAGCAAAACTTCTGAAACTATCTCTGTACAGTTCTGATTTGATTTTTTTTATATACTAAGGAGTTTACTTTGTTAGACAAATGGATCAACAACCAACCAAAAAAATGCATCATTTCAGGCATGACAACTTAATATCATCCTTATTAACTGTTGCTTAAATAAATCATAACAGATGATGAAAAAATGAGTTATATGCGACAACGTTCAATTAAATAATAGGAGTAGATAGGTTTGCCTATTGCCCAGTTTGCACTTTTACTCGGACTTTTGAACAGGAGTAGAGGTTTATACTCTCTTTCCTGTTTAGGATGAGGTTTCTGGTTCCTTATAGTCTTTTTTATTCTCTTTCACTCCCAGTAACTTCTTGCATCTTAGTGGTATTATTGCCTTGCTTGGGATGAATTGATTTAAAAAAAAAAAAAAAAATAAACGAATAAATATAGGAAGTGGATTGACAAGGATAAATCTCTACAACCGACCACAAAATCTGAGCTCCATCAAAGTAAGGTAATGTTGTACGTGTAGTTGGCTCGTCAGATTATTATTCCTTCAAAGTAAAATACAATGAAACAATAAATGCACATTTATACACCTAGCAACTGCAATGTGTCCATGAAGGTTTACTTGAAAAGCACCCTGCATCTGTCAATAGGAAGAATGTAGTTCTTCATAGAAAACAAGGCTGGATACAACGAGAATGCAGGAAAAAAATCTTTTGAACATGGTTGGTCTTTTCTACTCAACCCACCACATTCAACTGACCTTGAATCAAATAATTATAACCTTTTTCAATCAATGCAAAATGCTTTCATGGGGAAAACATTCTCTAATGTAAACAAGATTCAAGAGTTTGTCAAAAAACTCTTTCACATCACATCCTGTGGAATTACTCAAAAGGTAGTGAGCAGCTGCTTGATAAGTGGCAACAAGTCATTGCAAATAATTGTGAATATATAATTGAATAAAATGTAATTGTACTTTACTTTTGAAGAAAAGTTAAAAACAACAGAAATTATTTATAACTCAATCTACTATTATGTCTAATACTACAAGATGTAAAAAATCAACAGAAATAAAATGAACAAAAACCCTTGTCAAAAAGGATAATAAATAGGTTTTGTGTAAAAATGGATGAGTAGCAACAAGTCATTGCAATTAATGGTGAATAAATAATTGAACTAAATGGAATTGAACTTTATTTTTTTTAAGAGTAATGTTCATAAACAAGAACAAAAATTATTTATAGCTCAAACTAATGATTTTGGCAAACCTGAACTGGATCTTTGTATCCACAAAAAAAAAAAAACATTGTGTCAAAAGGATGATTTTTCCCTTGACACCACTATTATTTTAACTACCTTCACTCTCTTGGCAATGTTTGTTTTAGAAATTTAATAAAACCTAAACATATGATGAAAATCAATTTATACATTTTTTCTTTTTTTATTCTTGAGAGTTTATAACAAAAATATTAAAGACTATTTATTTATTAGATGGTTTAGTTACAAAAATAATTTCATATTTACATTTTAAAAATTAATACAAATTTTATTAAAACTAATGCAATGCAAAATTTATCACCTACCAATTTATAAAGAAATAAATATGAAAACAAATTTTTATTCCTAAATTTATAAATGGCCTGACGATTGCGTTTAGTATGAAACAGAATGCCACCTCATGGTGGTGACTTCAGTGTCCACTTTTATTTTTATACGCTTTATCTTCGATATTGAGCACTTTAACCCACAAATATAGCATACATTAAAACCATTTTTTATTCAGAAATTTATAAGCATTTACTAAATTATTAAAATAGGTGAACCAACTATAAGGGAATCTTTATTATTTACCATTTTAGAAAGTTCAAATATTAGCCAATGTTTTGCCAAACATTCCAAAAGTAATATAATAAATAAATAGTGTTTATTATTTTGTTGACAATTCTCAAGAACAAAGAAAATGTATAAATTCATTTATATATGTTGAGATTTATAACAATTCTAATGATCACTTTTTAAAACAATAAACATTGCCAAGGAGTGAACATAGTTAAAATAATAATAGCAGTGTCAAGGGGAAAAAAAAGAAGTCCTTTTGAAACTCCGTTTTTTTTGTAGGCACAAAGATTCAAATTTACCATAATTTTTTTTTGCAATAATGTGAGAATAAGAAGATCACTTGGTTTTCTTCTTATCAATATCTTTGATGAATGTATATGATCAAAGATATAACCTAATTATCAGACAAGAAATTGGAGCTTTCTTGAGTTTAGGGTTCAAATTTGCTTTGTCATTTTTTTTTCTTTTTAAACAATCCTAAGTCTTCAAAACTCTTTACTTTGGAAGTACAAAATTAGTTCCAAATCATCCTTAAATTCAAAAATCAACACAAGCACAGATTTATTTCTTCATAATAAATACTATTAAGCAATTAAATGAATCATGCTTACTTTAACTTGTGACCATTGTTTTGTTTTCAATGATTTGGGTATTTTCTCAGTGGCTCCACATTTTGCAACAGTAGCAGGCAAGGCAGCATCTGGGTCACGTTTTTTCTTTTTCATATCCAGCTGTGCTAGAAGAACAGCTTGATTCATTGTGTCTCTGGGACAGAAGTGGTTCTTGCTGCCTCCAGAAGCCCCCAACTGTTCCTGTTGCACAACCTGTGTCATACTCCCTTGAAATGACTGGCTTGGGGTCACATATTTCCCAGTTAGTTTTTCTACAACAATTGGCTGGGGGTTGGATGATGCCCGATGCACCACTTTGGCACTGGAAATTGGAACCACCATGTCGAACAGAAAATGATTCTCATGTTTCACTCCAGTCATCCCTGGATTGACATAGTCTGGAAAACAAGGAACATTTAATAAAAAGGGTATAAAAAATAATTCTATCAAAGAATTTCATAGCTCCTGAAAAATGAAGGAATTTTTGGTTTGAATTTCTGGGATAAGGATTTATCATTATTGACATTATGTACATTTTGACTATTGTCCTCATCTTTGTTGTTCGAAGTTCCCTGAAGAGTGCTCAGCTCAACAAGCTCCTGAAGAAGGTGAGAGAGCACAACAACTGAAACATTATGAAGATGAAGACAATACTTTGAACATAATGTAAATTGATGCAAAAGCTATTAGAAAGCTTCACTATTTAATATTTTAAATAAATTAATAAAATTAAATATTTAACTTATCTTCTGGATTCAGAATTTCACAGAAATGCTATCTTCTATTCAGGGGTTATGATAGTAAAATTGTATTCACATAGAGAATCTTTAAAAGGGGTTATTTAATTTTGTTTTAAAAGGACATTAATTTTTATGCAAATTTATTTTAAATTTGTTCTTTCTTGGCTTACAGCCACATCACGTCGAAACACTAGTTCCCATATAATCACTGAAGTTAAGCAATGCTGAGCCTGGTCAGTACTTAGATTGGTAACCACTTGGTGCTGTAAGCTTGGATGCGCAGGTGGGGTAATGGATAATGCTTCAGAATTGTTAATTGGAGAGCCAAGTTCCAATTCCCATTTTGTTATATTCACTTACACACAAATATGCTTGGGAAAGGTATAAATCCATCTCTTCTCCCACTAGCTATGGGTTAATTAGAAAAATTTGTATCACTATAAACCATTATTACATAAAAAATATTCTGACAATGTAAAAATATTTTCTGGTTTAAAACAACCTGCAAAATGAAAAGGGTTGTTAAGCTGTAGAAAATGAATGAATGAATCAATCATGTTCTTTCTTAAAGATGTTATTGCATGATGCAATCTAATTTGAAGCTGTTCAGTTACAGTGTATCAAATAATTTTTATATAATTGAAGTTTTGGCATTATGAATAGGAATATATGCATTTTTTTTTAATCAAACAAGTTACTAAAGAAAGAATAAAAAAAAAAAATTAATGTCTTCTTAGTTGATTTTATTTAGCAGCATATAAACACCTCTATGGGTTATTTAATGCTGATATCTAAATAATTTGAAGAATTTTATGGCTTCAACTAAATATATTTTGAATGCAATTGTATGCCTTCAGGTACAGATAAAATGTACTGCTGGTCATTTTATAATAAATATGTATTGCTGGTCACTTTACAATAAATATATATTTTTATACTTTCAGTGTTCTGATTTTGTTTGGGGGTCCACTTTTTGCCCATAGCTGGAACCCTAACAAGTGCTACCACTCTGGGTCAGGGTGGACCTGAGAACAACATTAAGAGATGGTTCCACACTGCTCAAAACTGCCAGTCTCCCAATCAGAGGCCTTGTTACTGGACATAGTTTATCGTCATACCCAGAACATCTTCTTTGGAAAAATTATGTAATTTTCTTTTTTTTTTTTTTTTTTTATTACTAAGGTTAATATCTAATAAAAAGTTCAAGAGCCACTCAAGGTAGAGTGCTACTGAATGAGGTAAGTAGTATGGATGTAAAAGGATGAAGTAGAAGATGAAGATTATGAGGATATTGATGATAGATAATTATTGACTGTAGTGTTCAGGGAAGCAACCATGTGAAAATCTGTTCAGCATGGTAGTGGTCCTTTGAAAAAAGCTGAGTGGAGTATCTGTTGTTTTAAGAAATATATGATATCCTTATATAGATTCAATTTTACTATCAAAACCCCCTGAGGAAGAGATATAATTTCTATGGTACTCTGAGTTGGGAAGTTAAGTTGAGCATTTAATTTTATTTGTTTATTATTAATACTCTATTTCTTAATATTTAGCACTTCAATAACAAAGACTGCTCATCTTAAAAGCATTATCCTCTAGAAATAAACTGTTTTACTGATTTTCACACCAAGCAAGGCAATAAAGTCACTAAGACGCAAGTGTTAATGAGTATGAGAGAATATGAGGAAAAAAAAGCACTATTAAGAAGAGAAAACAATAAAAGAACAAGAATTAAGAAAACAGAAGATAACAAATGACATTGCATTCAAATCTTTGAAGATCAAAGTTGACTGGGAAGCAAGAGAGTTCCACAAGTAAAGAGTGTAAGAGAAGACACTGTCAGCATAGAACTTAGGGATACATCTCACCATTTCAAGTGTAAAATGATGTGAATCTTGCCACCAATGTAGTACCGCGTTTAAATTCATAATGCCTAGGTACCATAGAGGAAAGTTCATCAGAACAATTACACCATGTAAATATTTATAGAAAAGTGACTGAAGCTGAGATACCAGGTCAGGACCAATAACATTGCAGATACTTCTTTGATTCTGATTTCTGAATGAAAACTTAACTATTAACTTAAATTTTTGAAAAGAAACACCATTGGTAAAAACTATTTTAGTACCCACATAATTATACATAATACAACAACCAAGTTTGGAGTATATTGTACTTTGAACCAAAGTGCCAAATTTCATTAAAATTATACAAAGGGTTCTTGAGCTAGGGTTGTTTTTCTATTTTTAATAGGAAATTCAGTATTTGTTTTTGATACACATCTTTTTTTTTTTCAATCCGTGTCTATACACAAACACTTGCATATTATATTCTAACTATTTATGTGTGTGAAAAATAATAAATATTCATAATACATTATAACAACATTATTAAATAAATTTAAATATGCATAACACAACATATATGTATATAATTCAATTATATTAGAACTTTTTTATAAACAATTACTTGAAAGGTGAAGAGGCTATATGTGTTACATGACTTGATGATAAATAAATAATTAGATGCACACTGATTTGCTGCCATTATGTATTTTATACGAGGAAGCAACAAGTATGTATAATAAAAGAATATATTATTTTAAAAAAAGACCATATCTGTTTTAAGCTGTTACTCCAAATTCTCATGCAATGTGTTAACTATGAAACCCAGTGAAACAATGGGCCTTCTTTTCCTGTCTTTAAATACAATTAAAATGTGTAATTAATAATATAATTGATAATATTTTTGCCTATTCATTTTGTATCATGGACTGCTTTTAAAAGTATTCCAATGGGTTTATGGGTGGTCTAGTTAAAGTTGAAAGAGTCAAATTTCTATTTCTTCTTTATATAATGTCATGTCCATTCAAAATACCATTTGTTTTTGTTTTGAATATTGCTGCCACATCTGGTCTGGTATTTAGTGATTCTTGATAAAATCCAAGAAGAATCTGCAGTGTTACTGGTCCTGACCTGGCATCTTGCCTTCAATCACTTTCCCACTACCATAATGTAGCTTCCCCTGTGTCTCTTCTATAAATACTTTCATGGTAACTGTTCTGATGAACTTTCCACTATGGTACCTAGACTTTATGAATTTAAGGGCAGTACTAAATTGGTGACAAGGTCTCATCATTTTCACAGTTGAAATGGCTAGATGTAAATGCAAGTTCTAACAGTTTCTTCTCTTGCACTTCTCGCTTGTGGAAATCTCTTCCAAATTTGTGCTTTCCAGTCAACTTTGATCTTCAAAAATTTAAATGCAATGTCAATTGTTATGTACTGTCTTCTCAATTCTTGTTCTTTTAACTGTTCTCTCTAGTTAATAGTGTTTATTTTATCTCATACTCTCTAACACTCAGTAACCTCCTGCATCCTAGTGGCTTTATTGCCTTGCTTGGTGTGAAATGATTAAAGAATAAAAGGTGAACATGACTCTCCAGAGATTCTTTTTCTTACAAGTGAATTGCCATGCCTTTTTGGGAAAGATAATACAATGGTTTCTCCATTGCTTCCTCCAAGATTGTAGGGATGCATTCTCTTAGAAGTAACATTTCCGAGGAAGAAGCTGTCTGAGTTGAACTTTATTACAGAATGTAAAGGTCAGGGCCAGAATGGTCAGCAATTGGCCAGAGTGACTCAGGGGCAGGGCATTCTGACAGTGATGGATTGCCTGGGTTTTGAATTCAACAGAGGGTCTAGAGAATTCTGATGCGTCGATATGCCTCCCATACCTAGGTTTGCGACCATCTAATACCACCTGCAGAGGGGTGCTGAGTCAACATGCAACATACATTCTTGTCAGTTCTACTACTGCCTTTTAGAATCCAAGCTGCCAGGACTAATAAAAGTAAATGACTTTTTGTTGACACTGCTTTTATTAATAGCATGGGGATCTTGAGATGACACAGAATGCAACAACTTGCTTTTTATCAAAAGAACACAGAGGAAATGTGGATGGTTTGCCATCATGAACATAGCATGGCAGGTCCTAGCTGTGAAAATCTGACCTGGAAGTAAACATCTACCATGGATTACTATGGCCTTGGAGGAGGTCTAAAATACTTGAGTAGGAAAAAACTATGACACCTTCCTTGATGAATATCATCTTAACATCAAGAAACTGATTGGAGAACTGGGAAGGATCAGTATGAAAATAGACACATTATGTTTATATTATTAAATGAAACATGTTTGAATGAAGATATGCTGCCTAAATATACATATATTAAAGACAAAAATCTATCTTAATAATCCCTTTCATCAGTGATCCATTTTTACAGCAGTGACTGGAAGGTTGGTTGAAGCGGGTGGGGGGAGGAGGAGCATTCTACTGGGCTTACTTGATCCATCAGTCAAGAAGGTACACGTGTCCACTTCACAGGTTAATATAGCCCAATGCTCTAAAGTGTTACTTCTGTGCATGTCTGTAAAGTGGACAGCTCATTACTTAAGGTGGGTAATTCCATCTGGCCGTAGCTTTTGATTTCAGGTGCTACACAAGTCTTTTATTGAAATTTCTTGTCAAACTACTACGTCTCTGACTACCAGAGATACATTCTGACCTAAGCTACCAGAGCCGACAGGAGCGGGTTGTGAATTAAGGATGGTGAGTGCGTTAAAGACCACTAAATTTGTAACACTTTGCAACATCAGTATTTAGGCTCTGCCACTCTGCATATAATTAGGAACAAATTTTTTAAAAAAAGTAATTAATCTTGTTACAATTTAAAATTTACAAAATCTCTTCACTACTTAACCGTGTGTAAGAAAAAAAATGCTTATAATCAGGACTATGAAAGTGAAATAGGTAAGAAGTCTAGTTGTAAACAATGTCCAAAATGCCGTCTTCAGATTTAGAATTAGGTTTATTAAAATTAAAACCTAGCATTGTAACCTAATCATTCCCAAACAACTTTCACTTTTTCTTAAAATTCTCTTTTTTTTGTCTTTCTTTAAGGACTTATCTCTTTTGAATAAGCGCCCCTTAAACTCTATCATTTAAGGCTGTAAAAAGCATTTTAACTTGTGAAAACTCAAGAAGAGCAAGATGAAAGGACTAAGTATAAACTACAAGAAGACTGAATGCATAATTATCAGCAAACGCATGAGTCCAAAATGCAAATTACAAATTCGGGATATTAAAATCAAATAAGAAATTTAAATATCTGGGAAGTATTCTAACAGAATGGAAAGTGTGACACTAAGATCTAAAGATGCATCAGGATGGCCAAAGATGTATCTCAAAAGCTAAGCAGT